AAGAGCTAAAAAGAAAACAGGACAAGTTGTAGGAAAAGAAAACAGAACAAGTTATAGGGAAAGAAAATAGAACGGGTTCTATGATACTGGCTGGGAGGAAGGAGGCTGCTTTAGCTAGGGGGTCAGTGAAGGCCTCCTTAAGGAGGTGACATTTGAGCTGAGGCCTGGGTGACAAAAGGACTCAGCCACGCTCAGATCTGGGGAAGACCGTCCCAGGTGGGGGATATCCAGGAAAGCCTGAGGCCTGCTAGAACTCTCAGGGGAGGCCCACTCGGACCTCTTTGACTGGGAAAGCTGGTAATGAAGAACAAAGGCCTTGTAGGGCTGTGCTTCCTGAGAACAAGGATTCTTGGCGTGCTTTTCTAGTTCTGCATGCTTTGCCTGTGAAAGCAGAACTTTATTTAAAGTGATCAGACATCAGATGAAATTATACAGCCAGATATATCTCTCCTACACCATTTCTAGCTAGATTCAGAGGAATACAGGTTCCTGGCATAATGACGGGAACACAGAATTTCCATCAACAGGAAACCAAGTTCACACTCCTGACCCCTAGTCAAGGGCTCACAGTGGTTCTCAACCTTCTGGCCCTTTAAATACAGTTCCTCATGTTGTGACCCAACCATACAATTATTTTTGTTGCTGCTTCATAACTGTAATGTTGCTACTGTTATGAATCATAATATAAATATCTGATATGCAGGATGGTTTTAGGCGACCCCTGTGAAAGGGTCGTTCGACCGCCAAAGGGGTCGCGACCCGCAGGTTGAGAACAGCTGGTTTAGAAGGAAATTGGAGTTTCAAATAGGCTGTACATTTATGTTTCAAAGTTCAAAAAGTATAAAATCTGTCTATTTAGAGAAAAATTTCTCCTCCAATCCCACCCCTATCCTAGTTTCGCTCCCCAGGAGGGACTGATAGTAACGGTTTGTCTTTAAAACCCCGCCCTGTGGAAAGCTTAATTGCTTTGAGGCAGAATAGAAAGTTGGGGCAAGGATGGGGTCTCAGGACGTTCTGGATGGCTGGGCTCCCTGTCCCTGCTGAAGGAAGGAAACGCTTCCCTTCCCCCACGCCGGGCGCTCCCGAGCCTGCTGTGAGCGGAAGTGGGGAAGTGCGGGCAGTGGCAGGTGCCTTTTCCTTTACAGCTGACTTCAGACTCAATCTGCTCTGTCTGATCAAAAGCACTTCTGTCGCAATCCGGGTTTCCAGCCTATCGACAGCTCTCTAAATAGAATGCACATTTAAAAATCAATACTAAAAATGTGAACGTGATTTCTCCGCCCCTGCTTGAGCCTATTTATAATCTCAGCCCACATGGCATCCTGCTATATAAAGTAGAGCCTTCTATGGAAAGCAGAGCCACCTTTCGTTAGCCTGCGCGTGGATGAGCCGAATTCTGCCTAAGGCTTCTCTCCCAATTCCAGATTGGCTACTGGGAAGTCTATGACGGGTCAGTCATCAGAGAGCTGGAAGGCTCCTCGTCTGGGTCCATCAATGGGATGGATATCTCCGTGGACGGGGCGCACTTTGTCACAGGTCAGTCCCCGGGTCACACAAGAACACCAGGCCGGACTGACTTGGGCAGGAACATGGAGCTCCCAGGCAGGAGGCGACTGGAAGGGACCACAAAAGGGTCTAAAGGGCAACATGTTTTGATTCAGGCCTGAGCCCTGCAGCCAGTGTGGTTGGAAAATAAAAACGCAAAAGTCCCATTTCAGTGAGAGGAAACGTTTGCCCAGGAGCCTTAGGGGCACAAAGAAAAGCGAAGCCTTGCATGGCTGGCTTTTTTTGTGGTGGGCCTTCATGATGGAAATGGGATTTTCAGTGGCCCGGGCTGTCCACTGGGCCTTGTTCTGTTCTCTCCCGCTGAAGTCTTCAATGCCAGGCTTTGAAATCAGTACTTCCAGGGGGCATTTACCACACGACATGCCTATTGGAACAACATCGATATCATTTCCTGCCAGGCTCTTTGATTCTTTGGGACATTAAAAGTCCCAAGTGAATTACAGTTTCATAAACACATTTACGGAAAACAATATATAAAACCAGACGTGGTGTGACCCCTGTCACGTACACAAATGTAAATGTGTACCTGCAGACTGCGGAGAAAAGACTGGAAGGAACAAAACCAAGGTGCTATCAGTGGTTATTTCTGGGTGGTGGGACCAAGGGTGATGTCACCGCTTTGCATTTTTCCCCCCCTCAAATTTACTACAACAGACGACCTAGCCCAGTGGTCGGCAAACTCATTAGTCAACAGAGCCAAATATCAACAGCACAACGATTAAAATTTCTTTTGAGAGCCAAATTTTTAAAACTTAAACAATATAGGTAGGTACATTGTTATTAACTTAATTAGAGTACTTCTAAGCTGGCCTTTGCTAAAAACGTCCTCAATCTGATTGAGGTACGTTCGCTGAGGTCAACCCCTTCCAACTCTCCCATCCACACTTGTCTTGTATACTTGTTTCATCAATCTCCTTTCCGAAAACCAACTTCTGCGCATGGGCCACGAAGTTTCAATCGCACTGTACATGCGCGCCCACACGTGGTATTTTGTGGAAGAGCCACACTCAAGGGGCCAAAGAGTCGCATGTGGCTCTCGAGCCGCGGTTTGCCGACCCCTGACCTAGACTTTTATAACCAAGGAAGAGTTACAATTAAGACAGGTTTTTCTTTCTTGAAGTTGCCCCGGGGGGAATGTGTTGAAGATGGTCCAGTTCGTTGAGACCAGGGCTGCTTCTCTGCATTTCTATGATAGCCATGCCATACAAATGTGTTTTGCAGGTGGAAAGGACCACATGGTCAAAGTTTGGGATTATAATGAGGGTGAAGTGACTCACGTTGGGGTTGGACACAGTGGCACCATCACGCGCCTTCGGATAAGCCCCGGGAATCAGTACATCATCAGCGTCAGTGCCGACGGAGCCATCCTCCGGTGGAAGTGCCCGTTTACCACCTGAAGCTGGGAGAGCTGACTCGGCATCGCACACAGTTCTGGTGGCTGTGGCGCTCAGATAACTCCCTGTGTTTTTTGTGTTACCTATAAGTTTCAAAATATTTCCTCTTTAAGTTTCTCCTTTCCTTTATAGAATGTATGTGACATTCTTAAACTGTACATTAAAATAGAAATGCGTCCAAGGATAATTTGTCCAAGCTGTAATTAAAGGTTTGTATTATGAATAAACTACCAGTGGTTGGTTTCCTGTAAGAGTCTCTTTTCTAGGACTCTGCGAAGCCCACAGCCCTTCCTCTGCTACATCCACAGACGGCTTTGCTGATGTCTCTCAAAATAAGGAGGCGAGCTCACCTTCTTAATCAGCATTTCATTGGTCAAGCTGCACGGGCAAGACTTTGAATTTGGATCTTGGGTAGTTTTTTTTTTTAGTTTTTATTCTCTGAGCCACTGTTTTCTCTTTTGTAATTCAAGAATAAAATCCTGCTCCAAAGGTTACTGTGAGGATTAAGTGAAATAGTGTATTAAAGCAGAATTCTGGACACGTAGAGAGGTAAATGTGAATTACAGGGCTTTCTCCAAGAAAATGTGTTGAGGATCTTGGGGTGGTTATCAAGGATGACCTTTCATAGGTGCTTTTTTGGAGTTGGCCATAAAATCTTTCTTCTGTGCTCACCATCAGAAGGGCGAGGGACCGGATCTCGTGTATTGATCATCCAACCGGGTATCCTTTCCCAGCGAGGGTAAACATTGTTTTCCGGAAACACAGAATCCCCAATGCACAGCACAGTCTTTTGTTCTTAGCACATTCTTTATCCTTAACTGATGCTCTTTTTTTTTTTTTTTTTTTTTTTTTGCATTCAGTGATTTGCTGCTGCCTATTTGATATATCAAGGAGGACATTTAACCAATGATTTTCACTTATCAAATAATAAGTAACATTTCAGGGCGTTGATGTAATAATGCATACGACTGATCTCTTTTAGAGCTAGACCCATGAGAAATTCATTTTGCAAGACTTTGCCCGATTAATTATAAACCTGACCGTTACAGGATAGAGTGAGTGGAGTCCCTCAGTTACCCAGGGAATCAAGGGCAGGGCAAGGCCCACTGAATTCTGATTGGGCAACAATTCAGCAAGGATTACGCGTCAAGGAATGAGCAGGTGAGCGCGTAGGTGGAATGTCTGAGACCCAGAAAACTTCCTGAGAAGCAAATACTGCACAGCGCGGAGGTTGGCAAGAGCCAGCCCGTGGGGTTAGCAGTCCGCAGGCCCAGGCGGAGTTCCATTTGTTCTATCTATGGGTTTGGTGACCTCCGTATATTGTTAACCCGAGTCCGTTTCTCCACCAGTTAAAACAAATGACCAAATCTCGTAAGTTTTTGGAAAATGATTCTAACCTAGTCTGTAGTTTAAAAAAAGCAAAGCATACCCATCTGGGTTATTTCACGCAGGGCAACACGCAGGGCAACACGCGACTCCCAGTTCGGGTCCTAGTGTAGGGGGGTAGGGGTGGGGGGTCCTGGGAAAGGCTCTGCCTCCCGCACCACGCAGACAGACTGGAAGGAGTGGCGCCACGTGCACGCACACACCTGAGCCTGCGGGCGAACCCGCGGTGCACAAAAGCGCTCCCGGTCCCTTCACAGTCCCCACTGCGCGCCTCTCACCGCGCCAGAGCCTGCCCTTTGGGGAGTCTTCTGTTCCCTTTGCAACGTGCTCCCCTGGACCTAATGACAAGACACTTAGAACTGGCCAGGGCTTTGCAATTTACGAGGCGCTTTCAAACGTATCATTCCTCTTATTCCACAGCTGGACCGCCCGGAGGGGGACGAGGCGGAGGTTAAATTCAGGTCTGGCGGTTTATAATAGGTGAGCGAGGAAGGGACGTGAACTCGGTGACTCCCAGTGTCTCATTACTAGTCTCCGCCGCGGGGGCGGAGGAGGCCGGCCCGGCGCTGCCCCGGGGCGGAACCTGCGGCCGGATTCCCGCGCGGGGCGGGGCGGGGTGGGGTGGCCCCGCCCTGGCTCCGCCTCCGCCCAGGCTGCACACACCTGGCCCGCAGGTAGCCTGCGCCCCGGCACCGGTTCGGGGCTGTAAGGGCCTGTTAGCCGCGGGTCCGCTTGGGGCCCGGCGCACGCTCGGGGAGGCGCACGGACCGGAGCCATGGAGCAGGGCCCGGGGGGCGCGGCAGGAGGGGGGCCGCCCGCGCCCCGGCCCCGCCGCCGCCGCTCCCTGCGCCGCCTGCTCAGCCGCTTCCTGCTGGCGCTGGGCAGTCGCTCCCGCCCCGAGGACTCGCCGCCCCGGTCTGAGCCCCAGCCCCAGCCGCGACACTGCGATGGCGACGGTGAGGGGGGCTTTGCCTGCGCCCCGGCCCCCGCTCCAGCCGCGCCCGGGAGCCCCGAGGAGGACCGCCCGCCCGGACCTCTACCCCAGCTCCACGCCGGCGATGGGGCGCGGCCCCCGGGCGCGCTGGGTTTGAAGAACCACGGCAACACCTGTTTCATGAACGCCGTGGTGCAGTGTCTCAGCAACACCGACCTGCTGGCCGAGTTCCTGGCGCTCGGGCGCTACCGGGCCGCCCCGGGCCGCGCGGAGGTCACCGAGCACCTGGCGGCGCTGGTGCGCGCGCTCTGGACGCGCGAATACACGCCCCAACTTTCCGCGGAGTTCAAGGTAGGCAGCGCCCCGCAGCCCGCCGCCCTGGCCGCGCGGCGGCACCCTCGCCCCGGCCCTTGTGGTTTCGCTTCCTGAGAAGTGTGTGCTCCGCCGGGAAAGGGCTCTCCTGCCGCTTTCTGTAGATGGCGTTCGCCGGTCCCGCCGCGGGTTGCCGCCCCAGTTTGGAGCTGATTTGTTGTGCCATCAATCGCACACGTTTTCTTCATGAATTAATTCCTCCCAGGTATTTTAAAGGGTTGAATGGAGGGAGCTGGCAGATTTGAGTAGTGTGTTCAGCTTTTTGTTTGTTTGTTTACGTCCAGCAAACATTTATTTAGTGCGAATTAAATCCCTAGGATGCGTTAGCGCGGGGTTGCATCCACTCCACTGTCCCCAGGATCACGGTCTATTGAATAGACTCTATTCACTGGGGATACTGCAGGTCGCGAGGCGTTCTTTGGAAGTTATGTGTATCATTTCACCCGGGGTGAAAGCGGGACGTGCGTTTGGGGTCCCAGTCGGAGTCAAGAGTTCCCGATAATTGATGCACATGGCTTGCTTCCTGCTTAAAAAAACAAACAAACCAAACAAACCCACAGCTCTGGGCGGAGAGCTGAAGCTCCCCATAGACTAGCGATTGTTGTTCTTGGCGGGAGGAGGGAACCTGTCAGGGTTCATTCCGCAAGCGTCACTGCTGTTGAGTTTCAGCCCGAGAAAGCAGTCCTTGTCACGTGACCCACCGGGATGCCAAGCCCCACCTTCCACTCTCCTACTTCCTCTGGTGAAGCACTGTGCTGCAGGAAGCAATGGATCCAATTGGTGTCATTAATATCTCTTTTTGGCAACCTTTGCTTTTTAAATAGAGGCAGTATCACATAGTGGTCGAGAGCAAGGTCTCCGGAGCTTTGTGTCCTTGAGCAAATTTCCAGATCTTGCTGTGCCCCAACTTTCCTCATCTGTGAAATGGGACCATAATGGTACCTTCCTTACTAGTATTACAGCATAGCCTTGTGGAGTTTAAGTGAGTTATATGTACAGCATTTAAAACAGTGCCTGGAAGGAACTTTTTATTATTCTATTATTATACCTCCTCACCTGCAGAAACCCAGGAGGGAGGACGGTAACCTTTGTGCACTTTTCTCATACCAGATGCATTCCCATCCACTTACTGCAGGGATGGGAGCGGTTCCAGGAGTAGCTTGGAAAAAACCTTCCAAATTACTAATCACCCTTGGTGACTCACCAGGAGTTCTCTTTCTCTCTCCTGTCCTGAAACTCTGAAGGCCTAGAACCTCCCGGTGGGCCTTGGGGAATGGAAGGATAATCAAGCTGTTAATGTCAATGAGGGTGATATAAGGTCGGTTTCCTGGGACTCTCTGGGTAGCTACCCTTGGAGAGAGTGGAGGATCCCAGAATCCAGGGTTTTAAATCTTGCTGATTGAAATCTAGGTGAGCTCTTATTTTACAGATGAAAAAATATTCATTCATCTAACAAGTATTTCTTGAGTGTCCAGACACTAACAGGTGCATGGGATATGCGAGTGATGAGCATAAAACCTGATTCTGGGGCTGCCCTCCAGGAACTTACAGTCTGTGAGAGAGATGGTTGGTAACGTCATCAGCCAGGCACATGATGAGAATTGGTGGCGAGTGCTAGAAAATAAAAATACAGGGAGCTGTGGCAGTTCTGGCAGGAGGCTGTGACATGACTGGGGAGGTGGAGTGTCGAGGGGCAGGACGGCTTCCCAGGAGAGGTAACCACTGAGTTGAGTTTTGGAGGAACAAGGGTCAACTAAGGAATGGAACTGAAAGTGCCCGTCACTGGGGTTCGGGCTGAGGAGCTAGGCAGAATGAATAAATGGTTAAATGAATTAATGAAAACCTATGTGATGGGGGGGGGGGGGAGAGGCTGGAGAATTGGTTGGGGACAAGCCACATAAGGTTTTACAAAGGCGTTTGGTCTTCAGGAGGGATTTGTAGCTTCAGACAGAGGAAGGAAGGAAATCGAGAAGGAGTGAGTTACCCAACCCCCTCCTGAGCCCTGAGCCACCCAGACCCCCTCCCCCCGCCACACACACAGGAGGACCACTCTTTGTTTTTAACAGCAAATGAATACATACATTAAAGAGATCCTGTTTAGGACATTATCCACAATACTTTGCTTTTCTAATGATATGGTTAGATGTGTGTATGCTATAAAAAAATTGAAAAGTTCAAAAATGTAAACAATGATCTGGAACTCCACTAGAGACAACCATCTCTAGAGATAATCATAATAAACATTGATGTGCTTCAAAGCACGTGCAAACAATTGGAAATCCTGGCTTTGTAGCCTGCCTTTAAAAAAAAAAAAATGCCGAAACCGGTTTGGCTTGGTGGATAGAGCGTTGGCCTGCGGACTGAAGGGTCCCAGGCTCGATTCCGGTCCAGGGCATGTACCTGGTTGCGGGCACATTCCCAGTGGGAGATGGGCAGGAGGCAGCTGATCGATGTTTCTCTCTCACCGATGTTTCTAACTCTCTATCTCTCTCCCTTCCTCTCTGTAAAAAATCAATAAAATATATTTTTTAAAAAACAACAACAACAAAAAACGATCATAAGACCTGCGATACGGAGACAGTGGATCTGATAACCAAGAGGGCCCCTAAGACTAACAGGAGGGAGCACATCCAGCGTGGAGACGCTGGACAAAGGGATGACTCATGCCCCAGGCGGGATGGAGCAGGGCGGCAGGAGATCTCTCATGCTATCCAGAATGGATCGCAATTGAAAACTTATAGACTGTTTATTTTTGAAAATTCCCATTTAATATTTTCAATCTTTGGTTGACCTTGTGTAACTGAAATTATGCAAAGCAAAACCAAGGATAAGGGAGGACTACTGTCCATCATATTGGTTTGATACATTTATATTGCAACGTGATTGCCATAGCAGCATTAGCTAACATCTTTATCAGGTCAGGTAATTATTCCTTCTTCTCCGGTTGGGAACAGTTAAAAGCCAGTCTCTTAGCAAGTGCCGTGTTTATAACGCGGTTTTGTTGTCTGTAGTCACTGCACTGGGCGTTAGGTCTGCAGGTCTTATTTTTTTACTAGTTGCAGTTCGTGCCCTTAAACAGCACCTCCATTTCCCCACCGCTCGGCCCCCCAAGACCACCAGTTTACTCTCTGCTTTTACAATTTCGGTTATTTTTTTTTTTTATTAGAAGTAAAATATAGTATTTTACCATGCTTCTTACTAGTTGTAAGGCGGCTCTTGGAATGATCTGTTTATGTCATTTGTCTATCCCTCTGCTTTGATCTTAATGTTTTTACAAGTTCCTCGACCATTGTCATATTTCTTGCACATGTTTTCTCCAAACTCTCCTTCCTATCCTGATACTGGATGTTTTAGATTTATTTATATCAGACCTTGATAAATATTTTATGTGTTTCTAATTTTTCTGTGGTTGTATTAAGGATTTCAGCCATCTGGAATTTATCTTAGCTTATGTGCTTAAGGATCAATTTTAGACCTATGATTTTAGACACAGAATATGTCTCAAGTGATATACTCAAGGCACTGCTAGTTATTTATTTATTTATTTATTTATTTATTTATTTATTTATTTATTCCTCATTCGAGGATATTATTCCATTGATTTTCAGAGAGAGTGGAAAGTAGGGAGGGAGGGGGAGAAAGAGATAGAGGGAAACATCTATGTGGGAGAGACACACCGATTGGTTGCCTCCCGAATGCACTCCAACTGGAGCCAGGAGTCAAACCTGCAACCTAGGTACATGATCTTTTTTTATTCTTTCTTTCTTTTTTTTAAAATATATATTTTATTGATTTTTTACAGAGAGGAAGGGAGAGGGATAGAGAGTTAGAAACATAGATGAGAGAAACATCAATCAACTGCCTCCTGCACACCTCCTACTAGGGATGTGCCCACAACCAAGGTACATGCCCTTAACCGGAATCGAACCTGGGACCCTTCAGTCCACAGGCTAATGCTCTATCCACTGAGCCAAACCAGCTAGGTCCTAGGTACATGGTCTTGACTGGGAATCGAACCTCCATGCTCGGGCCAACACTCTAATCACTGAGCCACACTGGCCAGGGCTCCAGGCACTGTTTTTTTTTTTTTAAAATAAAACGAGGATGCCTTTATAATTGTTATGTTTTGGAAGTTCTTGACAAAACAGTACATACAACATGAAACTGGAATGGAGTAGAAATATTAAACAGAAAATTACCAAATGGCTCTAGAAATTCGTATTTCAAATTACAACTATCACTAATGAGATTAGGTACAAGACAGAAAGCCAAGAGCAATAACCACTTATAACCATTTAGAACATTATAAAAATTAGGCTTTATTTATAAATACAACCTAGAAATATGAAATAACTAGTAATGACTTTAATAAGAAATACTTAAAAAATTATCAATGTTTGAGAGAGAAAAAACACATAGATAGAGCGATGCCATGTTTCAGGGCAGAAATACCAAGTATTTTTGTTCATTCCTCCCAAGTTAGGATTTAGCATTAATGTGGCTCTAAATTTCACTAGACTTTCTATAAGAATGTGCTCTGTAGGAATTGATAAGCTACGTTTTTTAAAAAATTCTGGAAAACACCTGCCAGATACTATTATAATTGGAAAAGAAACAATAAAGAACAAAGTTCATTTAAAAAAAAATTTAAATATACAAATGCGAATGGAAAAAACACCTATGGTCCCATTCTTCTATGACAACCATTTGTTATTACTTTGCTGTGTATTTTTGGGACTTTTATCTATCTACAAATATATATAAAACAATGCCAAATAGCTAATTTTCCATTCTTTCTTTTTAAATGACAGGGTTGTTTATTTTACTTTTTCATTAGTATTTCCTCAAGCATAATTAAAAAAAATCCTCACCCAATGATATGTTTATTGATTTTAGAGAGAGAGGAAGAGAGAGAGGGAGGGAGGGAGGGAAGGAAGGGGGGGAAAGAGAGAGAGAAAGAGAGAGAGAGAGAGGGAGAGAGAGAGAGAGAGAAACTTCAGTGTGAGAGAGAAAAACATCGATTGGTTGCCTCTGGTGCGTGCCCTGACCAGGGATTGAACCCTAGGTCTATATACCCTGATCTGGAATCGAACCCAGAATCTTTTCGGCGTGTGGGACAATGGTGAGCCACCCAGCTTTTAAGGCCATCTCATATGAGTGTGCCACAGGCTTTCCTCAAGTTACTTTGATGCCTAGAGCTACCTTTGTTTGTACCTCTCATTTCTTAGCCTAAATCCCCCAAAGCAGAATTTCGTTTGACCCTTGAACAACTCTGGGGTTGGGCAGTGACCTCCCCTGTCCCCACTGCAGCCAAAAATCCATGTATAGCTTTCGGCTCCCACAAAACTTAACTACTAATAGCTTACAATGGACCAGAGCCTTACTGATAACATAAACAGTTGACTAACACATATTTTTTATGTTGTATGTATTATATGCGGTAGTCTCACAATAAAGTAAGCTAGAGAAAAGAAAATATTAAGAAAATCATAAGAGAAAAATGCATTTATAGTATTTCTTGAGAAAACTTGCTCAAAAGTGGGCCCATGCATATCAAACCTGTGCTGTTCGAGGGTCAGCTCTGTACTGTGTTTCTGGAGAAACATTTTAAGGCCCTCGCTTATCTATCTTCCTGATGTTCATTGTCAAATGCTTTCTGGAAAGGGCGTATGGCTTTCTAGCCAGGCTGACACCAAGAGAGGATGAGTCTTACAGGACTAGCTTGATTAGCAGGAGGGGGATGGGTTTCGCATGGGAGGAAGGAGAAGTACAGGTAGAGACTTTTGAAGTGGGGAAGCATGTTGGGGGCACCTGAGTTGGTTGGTTTACCTGGAGCTTTGAAACACAGGAGAGAGCTGTGAGAGACAGGGGACACGTATGCATCCAGACCAGGTGGTGAGAGTCAGGAAGGGTTGGGAGTAGGGAATGCAATATCCAGGGGTGGGAAGATGGGTCTGCCCTGCCCGGCGGTCAGGGGGCTGGCAGGGGGAGACTGTCTGTCGGGGCTGGGCTCCTTTGTAGGGAGGTATTGTCGCCTGGGTACCAGTAGTTAGGACTCAACAGTGGGAATGGGACTGGGCAGAAAGAATTTGGAAGCCAGAGTTCAGAATGCTTGACAGCTGACTGATGTGGGGGAGAGGGGATCTGAAAGGGGACGCGGACATGAGGAGGAGGAGCTGATTTGAGGGCTTTCCAGCTGGCGGGGCTGGCTGCTCCCCAGGGGACACATGAGATGTTGGTACTAAGGATGTAGGTTGGAGGGTGGCAGGTCAAATACATGATGCCCACCAGTTAAATTTGAGCTTCAGGTACAAATAACCTTTTAGTATAAACACATCTCAAATATTGCCTGGGACATATTTATACCACAAACGTTATTTATAGCTTACTGCTTATTTATGATTCATTGTATTCGCTCAATCTGGCAGCCCTACGAAGGGCACAGAAGCTGGAGGGAAGGATCCAAACTAGCCCCTCAGTGAACCAGACAGTGCGACTGGCATATAAACTCCGCACCAGCATTTCAAGGAATGAAGTCTTGAATTTTGCTTCCTCCCATCCTACAGTTCCTTGAAATTCCAAGGAAAGATGAAACGAAAGAAGAAGAGAGCCCAGGCCATTGGGTTTGCTTGGCAGTGGTGAGGCTTCTCGGCCCACAGCCTTGCAGACTGGCCCCTTTGCTGGGTGTGAGCAGAGAACAGCCCGGGGGGGGGGGGGGGGGGGGGGCAGGGAGACCTGATGCCTGGCTCTCAGTCTCGGGGTTGGACAGACCGCCATGGACTGTGCGCGCACACAGACAAGGGGCTTCGCTTACACTCAGATGCTCATGCTTGCACATGCATTAAAAAAAAATCGCTGGAAAGGTGCTTAAGAAACTGCTGAGAGCAGCCTCCCTGTGCGGAGGGGTAGCAGGGATTGAGAATGAGTAGAAGGAAGACACTTCATTACTGTCCTTTTAAAAAAAATTTTTTTTAAAAATATATTTTATTGATTTTTTACAGAGAGGAAGGGAGAGAGATAGAGAGTTAGAAACATCGATGAGAGAGAAACATTGATCAGCTGCCTCCTGCACATCCCCCACTGGGGAAGTGCCCGCAACCCAGGTACATGCCCTTGACCGGAATCGAACCTGGGACCCTTCAGTCCACAGGCCGACGCTCTATCCACTGAGTCAAACCGGTTTCGGCTCAAAAAATTTTTGAATTCTTTTTTTAAAGAATGTGCATAGGTTACCCTTTGAAGTTAAGTTTTAAAAAGCTGAAATACGCATTTACACAGACACGGACATAGTTGTTACACAGCTGAACAGGACAGTACAAAGGGAGCGAGCACGGAATAGGAGTGTCCCGGAGGCAGGAGTCCTGTCCTGCTCACTGGTGTGTCCCCAGTGCACATGGTAGGCCCTCCGTGAATAGTTCATGGAGGAATGAAGCTTGAAAACAATCAACCGTTTTGTGATCTAACCATAGGAAGCGAAGTCTGCACTTCGGTTTCATGCATAGTAGCAGGGGCAGTGAAAGAGCTACATGCCTGTTTAAGGTATTGGAGGAAGTCCGCCTCACTTTGCCAGGTGGTCATTCAGAGAGAGTTGAATCGATGGGAGAGAATGAAATCGCTGAGGGAGGGGTAAGGCAAGGAGCTGCGCACCTGCAGGTGTAAACAGACAGACGGATGGAGCAGGTGCCCAGTGATCAAGGGAGGACAGATGGTCAACAGAATCAAAATAGTCAACAGGGACCACCCTGTGGGTTCCCAAGGACAGGACTTCCATTAGTAGTCTTTCTGGAAAGCAAGGTGCCTTCTCTGTACAGAAAACCCCAAAGGGCAGACTGTAGCTGGAAAGACTGTTCCTCACCCCAGATCGTCGCCATGCTGTTGGCCCAGGTGAGGGCTGAAGAGTGACCGCTGGTGGACCTGGAGCGAACGGGCCCTGATGGGGTTGTGGGAGGCCAGGGTGACCCTCCGGTTTTCTCCTCTCCTTTCAGAATGCTGTTTCCAAGCACGGCGCCCAGTTCCAGGGCCACGCCCAGCACGACGCCCTGGAGTTCCTACTCTGGCTGCTGGATCGGGTGCACGAGGACTCAGAGGGCTCCTCCCGAGGGCCAGGGTCCCAGCAGGTCAGTCCCTTGAAACAACACGTTGTACTTGACTTTCTTTTCTTCGCTTGAATATTTACGCAGCTCCTGCAGGCTGACTCTTGGACGTCAGAGTCTTGCATCCCTGCGTGTCCCGGCTCGCGCACACAGCGGGTCCCTGCGCCTTTCTCTCAGCTCCTTTCGTAGACAATGCACTGCCTCCGATGCGGTTCCATCTTCTAATTCCACTGATACACTGAAGAGGTTTCCTTTTGCATTGCAGTTTGAAAAATCTTACGTCAACATTCTGTCCATCAGTGTGTGCACCTGCAGCCCTGGGTACCGCTGCTTCTTTTCAGATGATATGGTTTCAACTCTACCACCGCTTTCTCAGCTACGCATCCTACGGAGCAGGGATTCCCAGTCTTTTTGTCTCAAGACACAGGATGGGGGATCTTTACACGTGTGTGCTTAGCGTTCCAGGTGGCGGGGAAACCCCAGACCTCTGGGAGGGAGAAAGCACTGACTCGCGTCAGAGCCAAGTTCACTGAGCATCAGCTGTGTGCTCTGGGCTTTGCTCATAAGGGTCGGTGACGGGTTCTGCCCTCCTGCTCTCCTTCTACCTCTCCCTCACGGGAGTAAAAGCCAGTGAAGTTACTGCACCACGAGGGAGCCAGGGCATAACAATACCCGGGAATAAGCCGCTGTCATTTAAGACATGGCTCACAAGCTGTGGTAAATAATCAGTTGCCCATTATTTTAATGTGTCTCAAAGCTGACCCAGATGCAGTACTCCGTCTTCCACAGATCACCTCTTGGAGTGTCACTAACAGTAGGAGTAACGATCGTCGTTTATGGAGAGGTGCTGGGGTTACTATCTGCATTTTATCTATGGGTAACACCAGAGAGGTTGGGTAACTTTCCCAAAGCAACACAGCTAAAGAAGGGACAGAATCAGGACCCACGGCGGGGCCTAGCCCAGTGATGGCAAACCTATGACACGCGAACTCATTTTTTTTGGTTGATTTTTCTTTGTTAAATGGCATTTAAATATATAAAATAAATATCAAAAATATAAGTCTTTGTTTTACTATGGTTGCAAATATCAAAAAATTTCTCTATGTGACACAGCACCAGAGTTAAGTTAGAGTTTTTCAAAATGCTGACACGCAGAGCTCAAAAGGTTCGCCATCACTGCCCTAGCCTGAAAGCCTGTTATTTTAAAAAGAACTACACCAGTCACCTGCAAAACACACAAATGAAACAAAGCAGAACCATCGCAACAGAACCCGGGAGGACCACACACTCAGAGGGGAGAGTGGTTTCCTGGGCTGGTGGGCTGGTGGGTGGTTTTTCTCCTAGGTGCAGTGACTTTCTGTTTACCTGATTTAGATCCTCTCGGTTGCAAGTGACAGAAATATAACTCGCTTCAACTTAAGGAAAGGACATTGATTGGCCTTTATAGCTTGCAGGTCAAAAGGTGCAGCAGCTTCAGGGAGGACTGGGCCCAAGTCCTCAAGATGACGTGACCAGGTCTGTGGCGCTCTATCTCTTGTCTCTGGCTGCTCTCTCAGACCGGCTCTGCCCACGTGGTGACAAGAGGCGCCCCTGAAATGCTCAAATGCTCTTTAGGGTTTGGGAAGATGTGATCTCCCCAGTATGGTTCATATGCTCCCTGCTGGCCGGGCAGGTGGTCTGCAGAATGAAACGTTCTGATTGGGCACCCCTGAGCTGCCCGTGTGTGTGTGTGCGTGCATGCGTGTGCGTGTGTGTGTGTGTGTGTGTGTCTGTGTGCGTGTGTGTGGTGGGGAGTAAACTCCACCCGAATCACATGGCCAAGGAGAGCTTTTTAGGTTCTGGCTGGGTTACTTCCCCAAAGGAAGGAATGCTGAGCAGATAAACGTGTCCAGTACATGGTGTAGTCCATAACCTTACAGTGAACACATTTTGAAATCAGAACGGTGTATTTTTTATAAAAGATACTATTTATTGAATATTTGTTGTGGGCCACACATCTGATTTGATGCTTTTCATGATTTATTTTACCCCTGACACACAGGAGACACTCAAGCTCCTGAATGGTTGAATAAACCGGGTAGTTACCAGGCCTTAATATTTGTAAGGATAGCTCATTTTTTTATAGTTAACCGGAATTTAGGTCACGTTGCCCAAAGTCACTCACTTCTACTTGGGAGGCACAGAGTTGAACCTGAGTCTGTCTGTTTCGGAGCAGGCTGGATCCTTCCCTTCTCATGAGTGTCTTCTGAGTCCCCAGCAGGGGGTGAGAAGAAACCAGAAGGGCCTCTTTCTGCTGGCCGAGCTGGAACTTCTGTCCCTTTAACGGGCCAAGAGTGACCAGGCAAGAGCAGGGGAGGCTGTTGGCCAGAGAGAGGAGCCTGCCCAGCTCTTAATTTGACCTGATTGAAACCAGACAAGATCTTTTTCTCGGTCTGGGGTCCAGGCCGCCCCGTGAAATCTGCGGTCAGAAACGGGGCCACCTGTGGAGGCCCGGCTGCTGGGGCTGCAGGGAAGGAACAGGCTGTTGGGGTGGGTTGGCAGGAAACCCCGTTTTCCCTTTCCAGTGACTCTGCGTAACTCTGAACAGCTTTCTCTTTGAGGTTATTTCAGCTGCAGAACATAAAAAAGCCATAGAGCGAGGTGCACTGAAACGAGTAGAAACCATCAGGACCGCTTTCTTCTGTGACTTTAATGATTCTCAACTGCTTTCCCCGGCAGAGCAGGCCCATTTTACTCTCCTGTAGACGCACACAGGCAGGTTATCTTAGACCAGTGGTTCTCAACCTCAGCTGCACATTAGAATCACCTGGGAATCTTGTTAAAATCCTGATTTCTGGGCCTCATCATTAGTAACAGAAAGAATTTCTGGAGGATGAGGCCCAGAAATCAGGATTTTAACAAGATTCCCAGGTGATTCTAATGTGCAGCTGAGGTTGAGAACCACTGTCTTAGAGGAAGAGCTGCTCTCACAGAGGCGAGAAAGGAGTGAGGCTGGGAGAGGACCAGGAAGCTGACATGTATTAAGCACCTACTGCATGCCAGGCAGGAGACACAGGTCATCTTTTCTGATGTTATTGATGGCCCCGAGGTGGATGGGACACTCCTATTCCTTTTACAGGTGGAGTGAGGCCCCTCCCCCAGCCATGCTCAGGGATTCCTCCTTCCACACCCACCCCTGGGTGATCCCCCATTGCTGCTCCCACTGTGCTGCATTGTCACCTTGATGCAGAAGCAGCCTGTGTCCCTGTGGGGTGTTCAGCTGACTCAGATAAGAACGGGACTTGTGAGAAGGCCGAGGGGTGGCACGGGGACCACAGGGCAGGCTGAAGACCTAGGCGTGGGCTCCCTGAGAGCCGGACAGCTCTGGGCGGGCGGCCTCAGTGGCGGAGCTGTTCTGGCCTGGACTCTGCCAGCATCACTGTCTCCAGCCCTTTGATCGCTCTGCTTATTTGCTAAGGGAGAGCAGGGCCCCTGATTAAAGAGCCTGTCCCACCTCCCCATGGGCTGGCCAGAAATACCACGTGCGCTCTGCATCCGAGCTCTGTCTGCTCTGAGCCCTTCGCTGCTCTGCTGTCAGATGTCTCGCCTGGATGGGGATGCCCTTCCCTGACACACTTCCTTTGGCTTTCATTCATGGAACAGGCAATCGCCAGGCTCGGGGTCCGCAGCTCGGAGCTGGTCCTGTGTATCTGCTCCCTTTCCGCCCTCTGTTCCCCCATCAGGTGCTCAGCCCTGAGCTGCGTGCACAGGGTGTCTGAGCCCTTCCCTCCTTCTCCTTTTTACAACTCCTACTCTAGTTCACCCTGTGTCAGCTGGGCCCTTGAGCCTCCTCGGCTGTGTCATACTCAGACTTACCCTCCTTCCTCCTGGCGACGTGCTCCTCTCTGGGCATGTTGCCACCACTAGGCTCCAAACCCGTCTACGACATGTAAACAGTGCTTACTGTGCCAGCTACTGTTGTGTTTTGTATTAACTCTTTCCTCTTATGAAAGTCCCATCAGATCGGCATTATCATTCCCTATCCCTTTATGACAGTTGGGGAACCTTGGAGCCTGAAGGTGACTAACCCCCCTGGCTCCATGCCAGTGCAGGGGCTCGAACCCAGGCAGTGCCCCTCAAGGTCAATGTTTAACTCCGGTGCTATGCCCTTTACTGAACCAGACAGTCCTCCCTGGGGCAGGCAGGGCCCCACCCAGCGTGGCTCCAGACTCGCTCTCCAGCCCCATTTCCTGCTTCCCTTTGCACATCCTGTGTTCTGGTCACCTGGGGCTTCATAAAATAGGAAGAGTGACCATTCTGAGTATTTGTCGCTTTTGTTCGTCCCACTGTTTTGTTATGGAAAATGTCAAACATATGGACAAGTTGAATTAATTATAAAGTGAACACCTCATACCTACCACCTAGAGTCTATAATTTGTATTTAACTAAAATTGCTTTGTCACATTTTATCCATCTATTCATTCTTCTCTCATCACTCCCTCGGGTTTCCTCATCTTACATTTTTGATGCATTTTAAATTAAATTTCAGACATTGGTGTACTTCACCCCAAACCCTTCCTTTTTGCTGGCTCTTGGAAGGAGATGCTGGCCTTGAAGACGGCAGTGATGTGGCCACAAGCCACAGAATTCCTGTAGCCACGAGGAGTGGGAGAGGCAAGGAATGTCCAGAGGAAGCGTGGCCTCACCAACACCTTGATTTGGGGCCAGTGATATTGACTTTGGATGTCTGCCCTTGGGAACTGTGAGAGAATAAACGTCTGCTGTTTTAAGCCACTGGTGTGTGGTGATTTGCTACAGCAACAACAGGCAACTTAAACATAAGGGGATGCAAGGGAGGGAGAGTAGACTCAGCTGTGAGTGAAGGAGTCTAAGGTGCGGGGTGGTTTGTCCGAGAAGGACGGTGGTCATGCGGAGGCTGGCTCGCTGGGAAATGTGGACAGACAGGTTTAGTCACTGGGAACTTTGGCTCGGACATGTTTGAAGTCATGGGAGCGCATCCCAGTGAGACATCCTAGAGCAGCGGTTCTCAACCTGTGGGTCGCAACCCCTTTGGGGGTCGAACGACCCTTTCACAGGGGTCGCCTAAGACCATCAGAAAACACATATATAATTACATATTGTTTTCGCGATTAATCACTATGCTTTAATGATGTTCAATTTGTAACAATGAAAATACATCCTGCCTATCAGATATTTACATGACGATTCATAACAGTAGCAAAATTACAGTTTTGAAGTAGCAATGAAAATAATTTTATGGTTGGGGGTCACCACAACATGAGGAACTGTATTAAAGGGTCGCGGCATTAGGAAGGTTGAGAACCGCTGTCCTAGAGGCACCTAGACACACAAGGCCCAGCCAGATGGAGATAAAGAGCAAGGCAGTAAACTCAGGGGTCGTCGTCAAGCTGGGTGAGTGTGTGTGAGTGTTCGCCACGGTTCATGCTGCAGTTCTGCTCTTCCAGCTCCTCCTCTGTCGTGAGGTGAAGAGATGGAGGGAGCAAGGGGTTGTGGCAAAGGCAGCATGGAAGGCCCAGGCTCTGCAGCGGGCGGGCGTTGCCCGGGAGGAGGCCGGGACTCCGTGGTCTGGAAGCGGCGGCGTGATGGGAGGTGTATTCATTTGCTTCCTTTCCTCATTTTGCAGCTTCAGCCGGAAGGCAGTAAAGCCTCTGAGAACCACCTGTCACCGTCGGCTCAGCTTTCTCTAGGCCAGAGCTTCGTGCAAAGCCACTTTCAAGCACAATATAGGTAAGAAGGGGATGTGTTTAGTCACCCAAGAGCTCAGCACACTTATATGCTGGGCACAGTCTCCCACGGCCAGGCTCACCCTGAGATTACAAAGCACCTCTCCGCCATCATTAATCCAAATGAACCACTCACTCCTACGGCTCCTGACCGGTAGTGTCTCTCCCTTTCCTTCTTGCTGGCCTCTGGGCCTCCCATCTCCCCTTGAAGGGGGGCTGATGCCAGGGTGGTTCCGCAGACTGTGAGTGAGGAGGCCAGGACCTCCCCAGCAGGCAGTCCCTGGGTGAGGACCTTCCTCTTTCTTTTTCATTGCCAGAAAGACAAATCATATGGTATTTGTCTTTCTCTGTTTTATTTTACTTAATATAAGGTATTGCAGTGTTTTAACCAAAGCACTAATTGCAGTGAGAGGTCAGAAAGGGAGAAACCCCTGTGGGCTTCTCAGAGGGGGTGTGCCTTTGGATGGGCTCTGAAGGATGACTAGGATCGAATGGGTGGGAGCATAGTCAACAAGAATGAAACAGGCCTAGAGGTGGGAATGAGCACACAATCAGGATCCGGGGAACCCACTGTTATAGAGAACCACCTCCAAGTGACATGTTCGCCCATCTATTTTAACGTTTATTCCTTCTAGGAGCCTCAGAATGTGAGGCACAGTCAGGGAGGTTGGGCTTTTTGTGAGCTCACGCCTAGTAAGTGGCAGACCCAGGGTTTGACTTTTGAGAGATCTCTGAAGCACAAGTCCTGCTCCTGCTTTCTTCGTAACTTGTCCTCTTCGGTGGCTTTTCCACCTCCCCTTGCCGCAAACCGAACTGGTTTGAAAAGTTTTTTCGTCTGGATGTTGCAGCCAGTCGTTTTCAAAGGTGTGCTTTCCTCCGAGTCCTCTGGACACTCTCCTCTTCCCTTTGCTCTGCTGTGCTTTTCATGGGCCTCCCGTTGTTTTTTCCTCCTATTTACTTTAAACCAATGGACAATTATTCCGTATTCTAGAATTCACGTAGCCATTTGCTTCCATCCTTCCTGGACACTTGCATTCCTTGTGTTTGGGAAGGAGATCACTTCAAGACGTGCTCTTGATTTAGGGTTGATACTCAGTGATTGCCAACCGAGTAAACTGGACATGACCGCTGCCTTTGGCGGTTTATCTACGGAGGCCAGATAGTCTCTGAGCCACTTTGGGAAGGTGCCACGGTGGCTTTCCACTGGAGAGGAAACCCACAGCCCTGGAGAAGTTCTCCCTGCCCCTACCCCTGCCCCGCCGGGGAGGGGCGGCCACGGGCACGCCCTCCTGCCTCGGTTGCTTAGCATATTGGGTAATTAAAGTCTCTTCTGAATGTGCCCACATTTCATTGCCCAGTAGGAGAGGCCGCCAGTTTCCCGAGAGGGGTGATGCACTGCGCGGTGCGCATGGGGGAAACGGATTCCACGCTACCGACCTTTTTAGCCGTGAAAGCTACTAGAGCATCTGTTTTTATCTTCGGGTCCCAAGGCACAGCCTGCTTGAGAGCCAAGGAGACAGGAGAAGACTAGAGGAGGGGAAAGAAGGACAGGCAGGGAGGGAGAAGGGAGTAGAAGGCGTGGATGCGTTGGAGAGCAGGGAAGGGTCGCCAGGAATTGCCACCAGGGACCGCTCATTGGTGTCCTTGTTCAATACATTCACTCATTTCTCTGCTCACTCCATTCTCTCTACCCTCTTCCCCTGTTGCCTCCCCATAGTCTCTCTCTGTTCTTCTTTCAAATATCTGAGGATCTGAGATTGTGCTGTGTCCAGCAGTTACAGTGAGAACATAATGATTCCTTGCCCATGAGAGAGAAATACTAATGAAAGATATCCATTCATTCTCTAGGTAATTCCTACATACCTACTATGCGCCAGGTTCTCTTCCAGGTTGGGACTGGGGCTGTGAACGAGTCCCAGCGCCTGTTCTCATGGGGCTCACGTTCTATTGGGGAGGGTGAGAGAATACACAGCTCAACAGGCCCCACCACAGAGAAACATGAATGATGAGGTGGGGGAGGCAGCCAAGCTCAGATCAGGTGGTCAGAGAAGGCTTCTTTCAGGGGGGACATCCGAGCTGACAGCTGAGTGACAAGGAGTCGGCCATTCAGGTACTGTATTTGGGGACAGGGTATTCCAGGCAGGGAATAGCAGGGACACAGGGCCTGGGTGGGCATGATCTTGGCAAGTTCCAGAGACAGAGCTGCTACGTGGTGAGGGCTGGGAGCTGGGGCTAGACAGGTGGACGGGGACCCGGTGACACAGGTGTCCTGGCCAGGTGTGGGGTTTGGTCCAAAGAGCACAGGAAGCCGCTGCCAAATGTAAAGCAGGGTGTGGTCTAGATGTCCATTTAAGACAGTGGTTCTCAACCTTCTGGCCCTTTAAATACAGTTCCTCATGTTGTGACCCAACCATAAAATTATTTTCATTGCTACTTCATATCTGTAATGTTGCTACTGTTATGAATCATAATGTAAATATCTGATATGCAGGATGGTCTTAGGTGACCCCTGTGAAAGGGTCATTCAATGGCCAAAGGGGTCGTGACCCACAGGTTGAGAACTGCTGGTAAGAGGTGATGCTGGTTGTTATGGGCAATGAAGGGAGGCGGGACTGGGAGCTGGAGCAGCGGCTGATGGAGGGCAGTGGTCCTAGTGGGTGAACGGTGGCGGCTGGGACCATGGAGGTGCCAGTGGAGACGGAGAGAAGTGGATGGGGGTGAGGAGGGGAGGTGTTTGGGTCGAGAGTTGACATGACTTGCCGATGGGTTTAAGGTCTGGGTTGGGGACAGGGAAAGGTGGGGACCTAGGTGGCTCCTGGGTGTTTCTGTAGTTACGCCTGGTGAGTGATTCGGAATACATGTCTGGGTGTGGGAGCGGAGACTTGTCTTCTTACTGCTCTGCACTACGGCCCCTCTTACGTCTGAACCTGGTGCGTGGGTGTTTTCCCCCACACCACGCAATCCTGCAGTTCTCTGCGGAAGCCAGCCTGAGTCCTACGCTGACCTCCGTTCTGACACCATGAGATAGCATCAGGTCCCATAGGTAAGGGCTCAGCCCCAGGAGGCTGCTCCCACCAGGCACCAATGACAGCCTCCCGGTGTCACCTGTGCTTCTCACTGACTGACTATGAGTCAGGCTCCCAGGACCCCACCTCAGAGTCGATGGTTTGCTGGAGCAACTCTGAGAACTCGGGAAAACAGTGCACTCACTAGGATCCCAGCTCATTATTAGAGGGTACAACTCAGGACAGCCAGGTGGCAGAGATGCACAGGCAGGCTGTGTGGGGGTGCAGGCCTTCGTGCCCTCTTGGGGCACCCTCCCTCCCAGCACCTCCACGTGTCCACCAACCTGGACGCTGTGAGGGCTTTGTGGAGGCATCGTTTTATAGGCACGGTTGATTAGACTATGGACCATGAACCATGAGCTCAGCATCTGCCTGCCTCCCTTTCCCCAGGAGGTGGGTGCTGAAAGTTCCGCCATCTAATCACATGGTTGGTCCCCCTGACAACCAGCCCCATCCTGGGGCTATCTAGGGCAGTGATGGCGAACCTTTTGAGCTCGGCGTGCCAGCATTTTGAAAAACCCTAACTTAGCTCTGGTGCCGTGTCACATATAGAAATGTTTTGATATTTGCAACCATAGTAAAACAAAGACATATTTTTGATATTTATTTTATATACTTACATGCCATTTAACAAAGAAAAATCAACCAAAAAAACTGAGCTCGCGTGTCACCTCTGACACGCGTGTCATAGGTTCGCCTTCACTGGCCTAGGGGCTTTTCAAAAGTCACCTCCGTAATATAACTCAGGTGTGGCTGTAAGGGGTTTGCTATAAATAACAAAAGATTCACCTTATTGTTGCTCTTATCCGGAAATTTCAAGGCTTTAGGAGCTCTGTGCCAGGAGCAGGTGTGGAGACCAAACATCTGTTTCTCATTAAAGTCACAGTATCACAGAGGGCCCGCCCGGCACAGGGAGTCAGGGGGCATACCTCAGCACTCGACATCTGAGCCCTGAGGAATGCTAGTGCCTTCCGGGCAGGCTGATGAGGCGTTCATGCTCAGAAATGTACTGGTGACAGCGAAAACACCTGCTTTGTGCCTGATAATCTATAGTAAAGAAAAATAATAGCTGGGGACGTCCAGCAGGCTGGGGCTCCTCAGGCCTGAGCATCAGTGGGGGCCCACCCCACGCTGGTCCCCTGGGCGGTGGTCCTCTGAGTATTTGACTTTGGCTGGAGGACAGCAGGAGGAATAATGTTAGGGTGCTGGAGATATGGACTAGAGGGAACATAATTAGCTATTCTGTATGACGATGGCCACAGCCTAAAACCTCTCCAAGTTTAATAACCAGAGATTGAGGTTTGGCTGGAGGACGGAGTGTGTGTGTGTGTGTGTGTGTGTGTGTGTGTGTACACACACGCGTGTGGGCTTGTTTATTGCTTCCTGCTCTTCGTAGCTTTATGTGCAGACAGTCTGGTCTGGTCCCTGTCGCAGGCAGCGTTCCCGTTAGGCAGAGGAGCTTTGGAAGGCTTTCTCAGAACAGATCTTGGAGAGGTGGCACCTTGCTTACGTGTCGTCATAATTATGGTAGACATTAGTTCCATTGCCAGTGAGCGGGTGAAGCTGGCCAGGTCTGAGGTGTGAAGTGTGCATTTGGCAGCCGGGAGAGCCAGAGTGGTGAGCTGTTCAGTGTCGAAGCTGCAGACTCATTCCTGGCGTTTGGAACTGGGAAAGCAGAGCAGTGCGAGGTGGCGGCTGACCGCTGGGCGTTACAACAGAAAGAAGCAGGTGACCAGAGAGCCAACCCCGCAGGGAGATGGGCGAGTGCACACGGAAGGGCAGCGGGTGATTTCCTGCCCCTTCCCCCTGGGGCCGCTGGGGGACATGAGGACGGGGCGTGAGCACGCTGGAGGGGACAGGGCCCCTTAGGCCCGCTGAGGGGTAGCTGGGAACTTCTGGAGTTTCTGTAAGCGTGACACTGCCCTCTCTCTGTTGGTCCCACTCTGTCATCCTCTGAGAAACAGGTGTATTTCACATCCTTTCTGTAGCTTATTGTGCCTGCAGCATGTTTTCTTCATCCTTCAAAGATAAAATTAGACCCTTGTCTGTTTTTTCCAGTCCACACATCTCTTGCGTCCTGATAGAGATTCATGGCTCAATATAGAGGCCTATACTGAGCCAGTTTTAGTAGGTTAAAACAAAAAGTAAAAATATTCCTTTCCATTTCTTTGCTTAAGTGTGAGACGGGGATTTGGAAATTTCCCAACAACACAAATGCGTTCTTCAGGCCTCTGCTATGTGTAGGTATGTGATGGGTGACGTGGGAGAAGGACTGGAAGGGAAAAGGGGTGGCGAGACCCCACAATGCCAGGTCCCCCTGGTGGCGGGAGCTCGATGTCTGATACACAGTTTTTTACCAAACCATTCCCATGGTTTTCCTGAGGGGCAGTTTATCAGAGGCAGTGAGAGGGATTGAGCGTTGAGTACTTGGGTCTGTTTCCTAAATCAGTGTTGGCATCTATAGGCTTGTGTCCAGGAGAGGGACCTGCTAGGAGCAGGCCATGCGGGTTGCTGGGGGCAGCACCCAGAAAACCTCCCATGTCCTTGCCTGTCCCTGGTCTTTTCTATTTTGTTTGCTCAACAGAAAACCCATCAAGCAGGGCGGGTGCTCTCCATAGAGTTGGGAATCTGGTTTTTTTGTTTGTTATCCTCACGGGAGGATTATTTTTTCCATTGATTTTTGGAGAGAGTGAAAAGAAGTGAGGAGAGAGAGACACATACACATCGATTGGTTGCCTCCCACATGTGCCCCAACTGGGGCCAGGGATCGATCCTTATCCCAGGTATGTGCTCTCAATCGGGAATTGGTCCTGCCACCCTTCGGTGCACAGGTGGATGCTCTGTCCACTGAGCCACACCAGCCTTGGGCTGTCTAGTGGAGAGAGCAGACTACCCGTGGGCTGCTGTTCCATGTTCCCAAGGAAGTCAGTGTAGCTTTGGGATCAGGAGTGTAGCATCCAGAAATCCCTTATGTCTTGGAAGAAATGGTGCATTTTGTGATTAAGGAAGTAAGTTGGAGCAACCATGTGGAATATGGAAGCGGCATTTCACTTTCAAAGGCACTAAAGCGAGGGAGCATTAAATTTAAAAGGGTTTAAAGGCTATAACTAATGTCAAGTTTAAGCCACGGAGTAGCATTGTCAGGACTCGTGTCTGGGTAACAGCCCACTGTGTGGATATACCACGTTCTGTTTATGAACCCATTGGTGGTCAGTTGGGTTGTTTTCGCCCTTTGACTGTTGTGAATAATGCTGCTAGGAGCATTTGCGTACAAGTATTTGTCTGAATATTTGTTTTCAGTTCTTTGGGGCATTTACCTAGGAGTGGAATTGCAATGGTAATTCTGTATGTAACTTTTTGAGCAACCAGTAGACAGTTCAGATGTGATTAAACGTCCGTCTCTGTTCTTTGCCCTCACAGATCTTCCTTGACTTGTCCCCACTGCCTGAAGCAGAGCAACACCTTCGATCCGTTCCTGTGTGTGTCCCTGCCCATCCCCTTGCGCCAGACCAGGTATGTGAGTGCTGTGCCCGGTGCACCTGAAACCCTTCCTCCATTGGGTAACCTCTGGCCTTGCAGCTGCACCTGTCTCTTACTTCTCAGCCAGTGTTTTCTAGAAACCAGCCTTATAGCTGGGCGACATTCCGTTATGGAATGTGATGAATAAAGTGAAAGGTTACCGTGTCCTCTCGTAGCTGAAGAAGGAATTATAAACAATGCTTTTGTTTACCAGCACCTGGCTTATGTCTTCGGCCTGTTCAGAAGCGGGCATGGGCCAGTGGGTACCAGTTGGTCAGATGGGCAACCCGGAGAAAATGTGTCACCACCTGCTTTTCCTTGCTTTGTTTCCACTCCTTTTTCCTGTTTGTGAAGATGTAGGAAAAGGTTTATCCAAGGAGCAAAGAAAAAGGAAAAGGGTGATTGGAGGAGGTGAGACAAAAAGGAAAGAGGAGTCAGGATTGGGCAAGAGCCATGTGGGGCCCAGCATCCCAGCATCGCAGGTCCTCACAGTGGCCACAGGCACCTGGCCAATGTCAGCCTCACGGAAGTTTAGTGAGCTCCCACATGGGGTACCTTCACTGGCGTCAAGATGGTGGCATTTGCCCATTTGGCTCAGTGGATAGAGAGTCGCCTACGGACTGCAGAGTCCTGGGTTCAATTCTAAGTCAAGGGCAGGTACCTCAGTGCAGGCTCGATCCCCAGCCCCAGTCGGGGCACGTGCAGGAGGCAACCAGTTGATGTGTCTCTCTCACAAAGATGGTTCTCTCTCTCCCCCTTCCTTCCACTCTCTCTAAAAATCAATGGAAAAATCTCCTTGAGTGAGGATTAAGCAAAAATAATAATAATTAGATGGTGGCATTTCTTCCAGTGTTCCCCACCTCTGTACGTACTATTTCTCTTGCCCTCTATTCTATTGAGATCCTCCATCTGTAGGATGCAGCTGAAACCACGACAGCCTCATCAAGCCTTTCCTGGCATCTTAATCCTTTTCTGCTCTGAATTCCTGTGCTGCTAGTTTATGCCACACATGGAACAGGGGCTTATCCTGTCACCAGTGACACCATGCAATGATGTCTGCTGGTAGATGTGAGTAAAGGTTCCTGACTTGATTCATCATAGCACATCGGTTAGGCCCACTGACTCTGGGACCTGACTCCCTGGGTTCAAATCCCAGCTCTATTAGTTAGCTGTGCGAATTGGGTAATTATAGAGCAGGAGAGACGGGAGCTGGAGGAGTGAGGCCCGGTGAGCTGGTGGGGACAGGAGGGAGTGGGGCCAGCCAAGGGCCCTATCTCATCCGTCACCCAGGGAGAATTTAAAAAAGGAAGGAGGGCAGCATCGGTAGTGTTGAAGCAGACTGCAGGAGAAGCTTGAAGATTATCTAGTTAACAAACAACCTTGAGACCGTAGGTCTGTGTTGTGATTATTAATCCAATACCTTTTTAAAAAATATACTTTTACTGATTTCAGAGAGGAAGGGAGAGGGAGAGAGAGATAGAAACATCAGTGATGAGAGAGAATCATTGACTGGCTGCCTCCTGCACACACACTCCACACTGGGGATCGAGCCCGCAACCCAGGCATGTGCCTCTGACCGGAATCAAACCTGGGACCCTTCAGTCCGTAGGCTGACGCTCTAACCACTGAGCCAAAGCAGCCAGGGCGTCGACCAAATACCTTTTCTTTTTAACTTGCTGGAAAAGTACTCAGTGGTATCTGTGGAGAATTGGCTCTCCAGCGCCACCCGATGACAGTGGAATATAGTGACCCGCCCCGGAAGCAGAGAAAAGCCCAGGTGCTGAGCTTGACCGAGTGTCAGGGGTGTTGGTGACACTTCATCTCAGTCCTTTAAGGACGTGGACTCTTCCCTCTTTTTCAGGTTCTTGAGCGTCACCTTGGTCTTCCCCTCTCAGAGCCAGCGGTTCCTGCGGGTTGGCCTGGCGGTGCCCATCCTCAGCACAGTGGCAGCCCTGAGGAAGATGGTGGCCCAGGAAGGCAACGTCCCTGTGGATGAGGTCTGATGGAAGCGCCTGGGGCCTGGTCACTGGAGGGCGAGATGCTAACTGAGCCAGCTGTCTCGGTTGCTTAGGCTAATTTCTGGTTCTCGGGTGACGCCAGCGTGACTCATGGGTTTCTGGGTGATTAGTCATCCCTGGTGTCTGTGATGACTAGGTCTTGACCTCTCTGGGCATTTACAGAGAATAACCAGAAGAAGACACTACCTTTGTCTTCCAAGAAGGTGGTGGTGATTGCAACTACAGTGATTCCACAGTCACTATACCCTCAGCAGTGCTTAATAAGTGCTGGGTACTCTATGAACTTTATATCGTGGGCAATTTAATTCTCACAGCATCCTGTGAAGTCGATACTGCAGGTGTCCTCATTTACCAGTGGGCAAAGAAGAGGCATAGAGAGGTTGGGTGACTTGCCCAGGGTCACACCGCTGAGCCAGGATGTGAACACGGATGGTTTGATTTCAGAGCCTGCGCCACTATTCTATATTTTCACTCCCAAGAATATAAGCCAGGTTATGGAAGGGACAATCAGTGAAATGTGAGGACCACTGAGGGAACTGAGGGTGTGTAACTCGAGAGGGGAGCTTCGGGGGAAAGTGGGATTGTCTGTGCCCTATCTCTTTTGTAAAGGAGGCTTGGGCCCTAACTGGTTTGGCTCAGTGGACAGAGCGTCGGCCTGCGGACTCAAGGGTCCCAGGTTCGATTCTGGTCAAGGGCATGTACCTTGGTTGTGGGCACATCCCCAGTAGGGAGTGTGCAGGAGGTGGCTGATTGATGTTTCGCTCTCATCGATGTTTCTAACTCTCTATCCCTCTCCCTTTCTCTCTGTAAAAAATCAATAAAAAAATATTTTAAAAAATGAAGGAAGCTTAGTAACAAGATTGGATTACAGGGGTCCCCCCATGAAAGGACAGGGTAGAGGTGATGGTGGTGAGAATCACTGTGGCATGAAGGGAAGGGCTGAGAACGGGGCTTTCATTGTGATTCAGTCACTTTCTAGTGTTCTGACCTTGAACAAAGTAATTGGTCCTCTTTCTTAATAGTAAAAGGGGAATTGTATACTTCCTTAAAGACCTCAAGGGATTTTTTTCAAATTAAAAAATACCATTAACCTTTTTGTTAAGGAATAATACACATACAATAAAGTACACATGCTTCACAGTTAAAAATCTGTTTAAATTTTACCTGCATGTACATCCTGTAAAACACTATGACTACTGAGCCTTTCCATCACCCCAGTGCTTCTTCCTGCCTCTACCCAGGTCCCTCTGACCTCTACAGTCATTTTATAAGGATCTCAAGTGGGTAAAACTCTGTGTTTCTTGCTTTGTGCTCTATGGGGATCTATTGAGAGAATGAGAGAGAAGAGAGTAGGACAGTAGGTGAGAATCTTGGGGGAAAAATCTATAATATTAAAAGCATAATATGCTAATTAGACCAGATGTCCTTCTGGACGTCCTTCCGGGATGAACCTGGGGCTGCAGCCGTGGGATCGAGGCAGCCTCTGTGGCTACGAGGGAGGGATCGAGGCAGCCTCAGCTGCGAAGGCCTACTCTTTTTTTTTTTTTTTAAATTTATTTATTGATTTCAGAGAGGAAGGGAGGAAAGAGAGATAGAAACATCAATGATGAGAGAGAATCATTGATTGGCTGCCTCCTGCACACCCCCTACTGGGGATGGAGCCCGCAACCCAGGCATATGCCCTTGGCCGGAATCGAACCTGGGACCCCTCAGTCTGCAGGCCGACGCTCTATCCACTGAGCCAAGCCGGCTAGGGCCGAAGGCCTACTCTTGCACGAATTTCATGCATCGGGCCTCTAGTGTCAGTAATAAAAGATCAAAAGTCTGAGAGGTAGAGTTTGAATAGTTAAGAGAGTGAAAGGACTGTTGGGGAATTTGAAAGGTGTGACCTGTTTGTTCAGGGAGATACATATCACTTGGGATTCCTAAGTGCAGGAGAGCGCACTTTGATTGGAACTTAAAATCTATTTTGACATTTAGTTTTAACTGGCCACTTTTTTCCATTTATATTATATATGATCATGGACATATTTGGACTTATTTTATGCTTTCTATTTATCCTACTTTTCCTTTGTTTCTTTTATCCCTTTTTTTATTGCTTCTTTTGGTTTGAGCAGTTTTTCTTTACTTCATCTCTTCAGATTTGGAACATATACATTATATTTCTATGCTCTTACTGGTTATCATTAAGATGTCAACATGCAGCTCTAGCTGGTTTGGCTCAGTGGATAGAGCATCGGTCTGTGGACTGAAGGGTCCCAGGTTCGATTCTGGTCAAGGGCATATGTCCGAGTTGTGGGCTCGATCCCCAGTAGGGGTCGTGCAGGAGGCAGCCGATCAATGATTCTCATCATTGATGTAGCTATCTCTCTCTCCCTCTCCTTTCCTCTCTGATATCAATAAAATTATATTTTAAAAAAGTCAACATGCATTAACAAAGTCTTATGTTAATTTTCCCAAGCAACACAAGGATCTCGGCATGCTTTAATTTCCTTTATATTATACCTTTTTGATTTAGATATTATTGTAGATGGATAATCCCTCCTCCCTGTTCTTCCTTGTAGTAGTAGTTTAGTTGTTATTTTAGGTTTATATAGTCACTGCATATTTACATTCACCAATGTTTACCTTTTTTTGGTTTATCATTTCTCCTTAAAACTCAAGTATTGCTCTGGATTCAGTTTTGTTTTGTTTTTTAAACCCTGAAATGTATCTTTTACAAGAAAATTTCCAGCCACTGTGCCTTGAATGGTTTGTGTGCACTGAGATGTTGATTCCAGATGTTGATTCCTGTAGCCCTGGAGGTGACCAAGTTGGGACTGGGGCATCCAGGACCCTCAACGCAGTCACCCCACTTTTCCTCTACAAAACCAGATTCTTCTGCTTACCTCAGTGTTCCATAAAAATATTTTTCATGTATGTGATAATGTAAAAAATGTTGGCAGTACATTTTAGAAATTCTTTCAATGGAGATCTGAAGAAGACTTTATTTTATGCTCACCTTGCATGATACTTTAGCTGGGTATTAAAGTTTAGATTTTCAACTCCCCCCCACCCTTCCCTAGGCCAGTGTGATATTCTATTGTTGCAGTTGAGACGTCTGTATTTAATCTAATTGTTATATCTACTGTATTTTAGTATTAAAAATAAGCAGTATTTCTCAATAGCTAGAAGGGAGGGAAGGGTAAAGGACAGTTGTAAATCTATCAGTCTCTTTTATTATTAAAAACACATTTTAAAAAATTTTCAATTATAGTTGACATTCAATATTATATTAGTTTCAAGTGTACAGCATAGTGGTAACACATTTATATAACTTATGAGGTGACCCCTCTGCCCCCATAAGTCTAGTACCCATCTGACACCATACACAGTTATTACAATATTATTGACTCTATTCCCTATGCAGCACTTTACTCCCCATGACTTTGTAACTGCCAATTTGTATTTCTTAATCCCTTCGCTTTTGGATTTCTTATTTGTTAAGTTCCCTTGGAGAAATCAAGGTGGAAAACGATCCTTCTCATTCCAGGTGATCCTGGTTGAACTGTGCCCCAGTGGACTCCAGCGGTCTTTCTTTGATGAAGACGACCTGAACACGATAACAGAGGGAGATAACGTGTATGCCTTCCAAGCCCCTCCGCCACCTGGCCAGGGGACACTCGCAGGTACAATAGTGCTTGAATATCGTGGGCTACAGGTCTGAGAGAGTACTCATTGGGTCCTGAGGCATAAGACATTTAGTTTTCGTACTTGGAGGCTTATTTTCCCTGATATTTGTTGTACAGATGGTTGATTACTTTAAAATATTCCATGAATATAGGGGCTTTCAAGACTTTCGTGAGTATCAGAGTCACCTGGAAGGCTTGTTTGAGTAGATTGCTGAGCCCTACCCACAGGGTTTCTTTCTGATTCTCTAGGCCTGGGGCGGGGCCTGAGAATTTTCAAGTGAAATGAGTTCCCAGGTGATGCTGCTGTCCCGAGAGCACACTTTGACAAGCACTAATCAGAACAGGTGCTGGTTAGTCTTTGCGTTCAGACTCCAGAGAGTCAAGGTCTGTGCTTAAAGTAAATTTTTATAAGTTCGAGCAGCAGATGGCCAGAGAGGTTATAAATGACTTTTTGTTAACAGTTCTGCTTCCCAATGCTTGGCTTTCCTAAACTTTGGATTAGCTAAGATAGCCAGTATCTGACAGTCTTTCATTGTAGGTCATTTAGTCAGTCAAGGACCCTGTGCCAGTGTCACCGTATCCCCAGATTAATCCTGTGCCCAAGCCCTGCATCCTCAGCAAGCCTAGGTGACAGGTGTGGGGACCAGGTGTCTATGGTGGTTCTGGGTCAACAGAGAGACTCTGGGTAAGGAATCTGGGACAGGACATAGACTGGCCCTGATTACGTTGTAGCTCAGTGAAACAAGCCCTCATTTCAAATTCAATCACAGGCGACATATCTGTGCCTTAAAAGTCAAATTTTCAGAACCGATTAGAAATTGAGGAAAGTCCAGACCCCCTACTTCCCCAAGGGTAAAGATTCCTACCTGCTCTGTGTGCTTCTTACGTTGGCTTTCGAAGACAGTGGGTATTCTGTGACTCTGGTCAGGCGTACGAGCATCCACAATGCTTTTGGAGTATTTTTCAGACTGGCTTTGAAAAGTGTTCATTAAAATCCCTACCCTCATTTTTTTAATTACTGGCTGAACACAACACAAATTCTTTACTATTTATATGATCGTCCAGTGCCATGAACCTTCTATCTCTTCCCCTAAAGTGCTCTAGTGTCTCCTAAGGGTGGTTAAGAGAACGAGGGCCTAGGGAAGCAGGGTTTTGACCCAGCGAAGTAGCTCCTTGAAGAATACAAATGTAGTTCTCTCTCTTCAGCTCCTTCGCCTGGTCTGTCCGTGTCCCCTCGCTTGGCAGCCCGTGCAGGTCAGCGGTTGTCCCTGCCTGCCCACAGGGAGAACAAGGTGCTAATCCTCTTCTGTAACCTGGTGGGGTCAGGGCAGCAGGCGAGCAGGTATGTTTCATTGCATCCTTTTTACGTGATGTCTGGGATGTGTAGATGTGTACGTGGAATTCTGTCTAGAATAATTCTAATTTGATTAAATTAAACACCCGTTTTTCAAGGTTAATCAACTAGGAATAGGGACTGGAATAATTTAAGCAGATGGCAAACATTGTCCTTAACAATTAAACATTGAAAGCTTTTTAAATTAATTTCAGAAACAATTATTCATGCTTTCACCACTATTATTTTATACTACAGGCCTGGTGCATGAATTCATGCACGGGTGGGTTCTGGCCGGCCCACCTGCCCCGATGGGGGCCCCTTGGGCAGAGCCGCCTGTTCTAATGCTGGGAGCTATAGCTTTCCCCCCAGCTGGATCTAATTATACTTGAAGGATGGCCAAAAGAAAACCCACAGCAGAACTGTTTTGCATTTCACGTGCCATCAGATGAAGTTGTTTATGTGTTGCTTGCAAACCTATATCAAGATGGATGATCGCCCCTGAATGATTTTTGCGTTCTTCCCAGAGCTCTGCTCTCATTTTCCCAATATGGTCTTCATGTCTGTTTGTTTAAAAGTTTTTCTGTTTTTGAATGTGCCTACCCTCCGCTGTTGCTACTGGCAGCCTGTGGGCTGCCCCTTTTAAAGAGAGATTGGAAGCTCACCTAATCTGCAAGGCACCGCAATTTCACAAAATCCCCACCCAGTCTCTCTACATTCCTCAGCAAAAGGCCGCCATCCTGTCAATGCTTAGGTTGCCTTTTTGGTAACTTGGAAGGCCTCCTGGGGCTGAGGGCCATGGAGAGAGAATTCCACACTCGGCTGCAGTATTAGCAGAGCCCTCTGGAGACTCTGGTCGGGGACAGAAGAGACTGATAATTATTTTCTTGTGCTTTCACTAAATGTACATGCACCAGGGAGCCAGGCAGTGATTTAGGGGTGTTGGGGGCCGATCAGGGTCTGGGCCAGCTAGGGGGAGGGGCTGCAGGCAGTTGGTGGCCACCCCTAACCCCGATTGGGGTGTTGGGTGCCGATCGGCCCGGGCCGGCCGGAGGGGCGGGCAATTGGGGCCCGGATCAGGCTGGTTGGCTACCACAGTGTACATCACAGCTACTGTCGTTCTGGTGGTTTTTTTTTTTGTGTTTTTTTTTTTGCGGAAAAGACATTTATTAACGAGCTATAAATTAGAGGTGGAAGGGGGGTGGGTCGGTGGGAGGAGCCAGTGGTCACGTTTGTGGCCTCTTCTCTTTCTCTCTGTCCTCCTGAGCCTGGATTCGGAGCTCCTCCTCAAGGCGCTCCTTTGCTCCGACCACCTTTGACTGCAGGTAGAAGGGCTTATATATATATAGATTGTGTACTGAGGTTTGGGCAGTATGGTGGGACAAGGAAGAAGAAACTGGCTCTGTAATTGTAAGGAGATACAATTACAGCTATTTGCAGATCCACTGTCCGGAGAACCAAGAACTTGAAAATGATTAAAACTAACAAAAGAGTTCAGGCAAGTGACTGGCTACATAACTAATGTACAAAAGCAGAGACTTTTCTTATATAGTCCAAATAAAATGTTTAAAAGATATGTGGCTCCAATAAAAAATTTTTAGATTGATAAAATATAAAATTTATCTGGACTAATAAGCTTGTAAGAGTAGTCAGAAAATATTGGGGGAAGAAGAGGGATTGTTCTACTAGAACAGAATGAAGTTGTGATTATTAAAATATTGTGATACAGGCAGAAGGATAGATATTTAAGTCAATGAACAGACCAGGCCAAACTGTATTTAAGTATTATATGATAGAAATGGTATATTTCATATTACTAGGTAGGGAATGAATTCTTCTATATAAAATGCTGACTTAATTGATTTCTTTTTAAATTTTATATAATCAATTTTTTACTCCCACTATAAATTCACATGTGTAAATTCCAGATTGATTAGAGAGGTGATTGTAGTAAAGGAAACCTTAAAATAGCTTGAAGATAATGTAGGGGCATATTTATGTCTTTGGGTGGGGACTGTTTTAACACTTAAGCCAGGGTCTATAAGAGAACAGGATAATATTTTAAATACATTTACAATTTTGAACTCAAAGCAAATTTGAAAGGCAAAGCACACAGAGGAATCATATTGGCATCATGTGACAGATAAAGGCTTCAGATCCATCATGCAAAACCCAGCTCTCAGATAAGGGAGAGAAATACTCTTTTAGTAACAGGAGCTTCAGAGGTTCACATGCATTTCCAGAAGGAACACAAGCTGAAGTTAAAATAGGCCTCTTCATGTGCTAGTAGAAGTTCTGACTGCAACAGAACTTCTTTGTTTTTTTATTATTGATTTTTTTTACAGAGAGGAAGGGAGAGGGATAGAGTTAGAAACATGGATGAGAGAGAAACATCGATCAGCTGCCTCCTACACATCCCCTACCGGAATCGAACCTGGGACCCTTCTATCCGCAGGCTGACGCTCTATCCACTGAGCCAAACCAGTTAGGGCCAAGATGCTATTATTAACCTTTCAGGTTGTTAAAGAAGTTTTAGAGATTGGCGATGCCCGTTCTGGGCAGGTGCCTCGTCGGTACACTGGGGTTGCCTTTCTGGAGGGCAGCTTTGGTCTTGCATTTCTACTTCTGGGACTTTATCCCAAAGGAACAATTAGTCATGTGCACCCAGAGGTGTGTGTAAAAGAGTACATGTCGTCCTGTTATAAGCAAGCACTGTTTCAATAAAAAGTTGAAGCAATCTGAATGCCTAATAGTAGAGGACAAGGCAGATAACCCCACCTGTCCACACACAGTGGGTGGCCCAATGTGCTTGCCTCTCCGGACACAGCACCTGAGACTTGTGCAGAGTTTATCCTGCAGCTTCACATTCTTTCTTTTTTAAAAAAAGAAAATATTTTCATTGATTTCAGAGAGGAAAGGAGGGGGAGAGAGAGATAGAAACATCAATGATGAGAGAGAATCATTGATTGGCCGCCTCCTGCACGCCCCCTACTGGGGATCGAGCCTGCAACCTGTGCATGTGCCCTTGATAGGAATCGAACCCGGGACCTTCAGTCCGCAGGCTGACACTATCCACTGAGCCAAACCGACTAGGGCAGCTTCACATCCTGAACCCACTGACTCTCCACAAAACCGTGTGTGGCGTGGTCACGGGACAGTCAGCAGTCAGGGACGTGCCCAGCGGAACGTTCCCATGGCTGAGCTGGAACTGACCGCGGGGCGTTCTCAGCGTCGGGGCTCACTGCGGCGTGTCCATCCGCGTGGGACGTGAAACCTCCCCCCCGTGATGAGGCTCGTCCTGATGCACCAGGCATCGGTGCCGGCTGGGCTGCTCCCCTCTGGCTGCAGTGCTCTCCCACTCCGCTCTCTTCTGTGGGGAGAGAGTTTCCCAGCCGCTGAGCGCTCGGAGCATCTCTTTGCCCTGCAGTGTCTCCTCGGCCTCTGTTTCCGCCTCAGGGTCTCCACTGGCAGCAGGTCCTCTGACGGGCAGTTTTGCGTTATGCCTGGCGTTGAGCCCTTAGCCAGTGGAGAGCAGCTATGACAGAGCAAAGGTCACACGTGTTGGTTTTTCCTCCGCTGAAATAACCCGATGTCCTTGGGTTTTCAGGTTTGGGCCACCATTCCTGATCAGGGAGGACAGAACCATCTCCTGGGTCCAGCTCCAGCAGTGCATTCTCAGCAAGGTCCGCCACCTCATGAAGGGCGAGGCCCCGGGACAGCAGGTCAGTGTGTGTGTGTGTGTGTCTGTCTGTTGTGAGGGGGTGGAGATGAGGTGGGAAGCTAGGAGTAGCTCAGGAGAAACCAGAGTTTGCTGTTAATAAGTATTAACGTTATTGTATAAAATAACTTTGATTTACGTGCAAGGAAATGACCAATTTATGACCCGTGGCGGCTCACTCTTCACAGCCTTACAAATAACCTTTCATGGACAGCTTTTTTCTCCTTAAATCTTACAAAACACCATTGGAGTCAAGTGTGGGATTTACATTATTCTTCTCACTTTTGTACATTTATGGCTTCCCGTAGGACAGCTTACTGTAATAAATTGTAACTTATCTTTGGATCAAAAACTTGAAGGGACTTCATAATTTATGTGGAAAATTAATGTTCCTGTCCAAATATAAAGCCTAGTTTTAAAATAGTTTTGTCCAGTTTTTGAATAACTGAGAGAGAAACTCAAGGGAAAACACCTTTTATATATTTAAATGCCATTTAACAAAGAAAAATCAACCAAAAGAATGAGTTCACCTGTCACCTCTGACATGCGTGTCATAGGTTCGCCATCACTGTCCTATAGTATCAGAAACTAATCCCATGGCTTCCTGGCGCAGAAGATGTTGACATTTTTAGGGACAAGTCAGTGGCTTTGAAATTTTTGGGCCCCCCCTCCCCAGCTATTCTCTTAGAACTTTTTATTTGGGGGATGTACCAAACGTAGTGATAATTCTTTATAATTCACGTTGCTTAGTGCTCAGGGAAAAACCATACATTTAATTTAGGATTTACTCCAAATACCACTTTGTTAAAGACCTCCCTACATTTGTACCCATCATTAGCTCTAAGGGACTTTGCTTTTATTCTGCCCAGCAGCTCTGCCAGAGCCCAATTTAGAACACGGCTTCTCTCTAAGTAGGTCACGGTACCTAGGAATAGCTGTAGCCTCCCCCAAACCCTGTGCCCCTGATTCTTGAAAGCGGATGAACCACTGTCATGTGAACATTGAACCCAGCTGGCCCATTTTCCCCCGGACACACGGGGGCCTTTGCCTCTGCCCCCTGCAGTCATTTTGACTTTAGAAACCAATCAAGCAATTGGTGGTGCCAGCAAAATTCTATTACAGGTCACCTCCAACTCAGCTGTGGACGCCTTTCCAGTCATTGGTAAACATGTGGTTGGAAGGATTTTCTGTAGGAATAATGTATGTTGAATGGTTGACTGTGAGCTTCCCACGCTAGCCCACCCATGTAACTCAGAATGCTTTTAGTAATGTATTCAATACTGGCTCCATATGCTAATCATTTGGAAAGAATACATTCAGAATTCACATCCTTGAACTGAAGAGATGAAAAATAGTGAGCATATTGTGGAGGTTCTAAAATGAATTTCTCCAGCCAAGGAGAGAGGACAGGAAAGTAACTCTTACGCAAATGGCCCATTTGCTGGACGGGCTTTTACCTCGCACGAATTATCAAAGAGGAGAGTTATCATTGCCGAGGCATGTTTATGGCGACTTTGTAAACTTCCTTTGTGCGCAGGCTGGGTAAGCTGCCTCCACTCAGTGCAGAGGCCTTGTGTTGCCACCCAACCAGCAAAGCTCAAGATTTAACTAGCTTCTCCTCAGGAAGCACAGCAGGTCCTCCAATAACAAGGCTGGGGCCACTGTCTCTGGAGTCTGCACACTCCTACCTCCCACCCCCTGTGTGTGTGTGGTTTACTCCCACGTCCCAGAGATGTGCACATGAGGCGAAGGGTGTCTGAATTGTCCCAGTCTGAGTGGGTGTGGGTATGGGTGTGAGTGCGGTGTGAGCGCCCTGTGATGGAAGGGTGTCCTGTCCAGCGTGGGTCCTGCCTTGTGCCCTGAGCTCCCAGCAGAGGCCTGGCCACCCATGACCCTGAACCGGAATAACTGGGTTGGAAAATCATTCTTTTTCTTGTTTTCATTCATCTTGTAAATGTTTATATAGATCATATTCATTTCGATGTCAAATAGTAGCAGTGTGTTGGGTCTTTATTTAGAAGTTGGATGGTATTTTTGGGACCAGAAATATGCATTAGGAACTTAGACTAAAAACATAGCTGGTATTTCCTTATGTGGCTTGTTTTGAAGTGTTTATTGGCATTTGGGAATGTAAAATATACGCTAATTTGCTTTTAGATTACTGGCTCATTTTGGTAATTTGGTGATGATAATTTCTTAAAGTAAGTTAAATTACCGATTAATAATTCATTAACATACTTGATTTATTTTTCCAGCTTCTGTTCCAATGAAACAGGAGTTATTTAAGAACAGCATGCTTATCCCTCAGGGAAATTTACTGCGTTAGACAGTGTTCGATCACTATGTGAAAAGAAACTGTGCATCTTCAAAAGCAGACGAAGCCGTCACACATCTCGGTCTTGAATACTAATTGTTACGGGAATATTCAAAATAGACTGTAAACAGAAAGGCTTACAGTTTTTGAGTCATGTGTCTGCACTCAGAGCCTAATTTAAAACAGCAGGCCTGATGACCCCCTCCCCCGTTTTTGTCTTGGCAGAACCCAGGGCCACTGTTCTCCATCCGGGTGGTGGGGCAATCCCTGGCCCTTAGCTACTTGTCCCCACAGGACAGCAGGCCCCTCTGTCACTGGGCAGTGGACAGGTAAGGGCAGGTTCCGGATTTGGTACGAGTATGAATGTGTCAATACCATTGATTACAATTGTAGCCACTCTCTGCATTGATTACAATTGTAGCCACTCTCTCCAGTGTCTGCTTCCGAGGTGGGTCCTTACACACTCAAGGGCTTGCAGTCCTTATGTGTAGGGAGGAAGTATGATGCTCACTTCAAAGATGAGGAGACACTGAGGTTCCCAGAGATCAGTTAACGTGCTCACACTCGCATGGCGAGTTAATGGCCGAACCCAAATTTGAACCCAGATCTGAGTGAAAAACCCAGGCTCATTCAGTTAGTCATGCTACTGAATTCAAGCTGAATTCCCGCTCTAGCGGAGGGAGAATTCTACCTGAACCATCGGCCCCAAACTGTAGTCAGCTGTGGACTCTGGCTGAGGATGAAACCGGCGTGGCCGTGTCTCCGGTGGTTCTGACTTCCTGACTCTCCGCGTGCCCGCACACAGCCTCCCACTGGACACAGCCTTGCCCGGCAGCCTGCGGGCCAGCACAGGGCCCGAGAGCCAGCTTTGCTCCTTCCCCACAGACAGACCCTCAGTGAGGGTCTCATTTCCTGGCTTGGTCAGCCAAGGCTGACTGAGTCCAGTGTCGGGTGATGTTTTGGGTTGTCATAAGACATACACATTTGGGGCTCCCAGTTCTGGCACAGCGCCTGAAGCCCTTAGAATTTCCTAAATGATGAAAGCATTAACGATGTCTTGTTATCCTTCATAATGACCCCTTTCAGCCACACCCACGTGTGTGTAACGAGGTGACTCTTGGATAGCACCTAAGGAGGGGGCTGGTTGCCAGGCGAACCAGCCTGTGATTAGAGGGTTGGGACGTCCACTCCCACCCCCTGACCTTGGGGAGGTGGGGAGGAGCTGGAGGGTGACTCTGTCCCCCTGGTTAATGATGTAATCAGTCATGACTATGTAATGAAGCCTCCACTGAAACCAGAAGGACATCGTTTGGGGGGCTTTGGCCTGATGAGCACATCACACGGAGGTGCTGGGAGGGTGGAGCCTGGGCGGGTGTGGAGGCTCCCCGCCTCCCCCCCCCCCCCCCCCCACATGCTTGCCCTGCTTGTCTCTTCCACTGGCTGTTCCTGAGTTAAGCCTTCTTATGATAAACTGGTCATCTAATCAGTACACTGTTTCTCTGAGTTCTGTGAGCTGCTCTGAGCAAATTAACTGAACCCAAGGAGGGGACCCTTGGACCCTCCAAGCGATTATTGGTTTGGTCAGAAGCCCATGTGGCAAGCACCCCGGACTTGCGATTGGTGTCTGAGGCGGGGGGCGGGGCCCCCATCCTACAGGACTGAGCTCTTAGCCTGTGGGGCCTGAGGCTTCTCCAGGTGGCGAGAGTCAGAACTGAGTTCAGTGTTGGAGGTTTGGAAAAAACACACTAGGAATTGGTGTCAGAACCTGAATTGGTGTCAGACTTATAACAGGGACAGGCCCCTCCCTGTATAAAGAGACCAGGAACCAGGAGGATAGGGGGGGGATCCAGGAAGCTCTGTGCCCTACACCCCATCTGCACCCTCCTGGGCTGGTCGATGCTATACAGAGTTAGGGAGGCAGAGGAATGTCAGCCGGGCCTGCCTGGGTGTGAGAGGGAGACCGAGCCTGGGGTGGGGTGGAGGCTGTGGGAAGGGCCCCCTGGAGGCACTCAGAGAGCTCCACAGAGCCCCGCTAAGAACCCGAGAGGAAGCATTTAGAAGCATTACAGCAATGTGATAGAGCAATTTAAAACATGATGAATAGAATAATTTTTTAAATTGAACTTGTATTTTTATATCTTCCCTCCCCCCCCAGTACATGTTTATTATATTAGTTTGCAGAAGTATTAGTCTGCTCTGATTTGGAAACAAACCAAGACACGGGCCTGTCCCTAGAGGTGGTTTGAGCAATACTGAAGAGTGTGGCTGCCCCCAGGCTGGCCCTGCTAAAGGGAGCCCTCCCCTGAGGCTGCAGCCCTTCCTCCCACCTTCAGCCACTCAGCCTGTCACCCCGCCCTCTCCACCCCTCCCCCACCCACCATCCCTCTCCTCAGCGTCTGATAGCCTCAATTTCTTGCTCTATTATCCCAGCACCTCCTTTCCCCCCATAAATTACTTTTTAAAAAATAATTCTTTATTATTGAAAGTATTACGTATGTCCTCCTTTCCCCCTGCATTGGCCCCCTCCCGCCCCCCTTCCAACTCCTGCCCCAGGCCTTCGGCACCCTGTTGTCTGTGTCCATGGGTGATGCATATGTGCATACAAGGTCTTTGGTTGGTTACCTCCCACCCACCCACCCTCCCCCGCCTTCCCTCTGAGATTCCGCACTCTGTTCCATTGTGACTGGATTCAGCCATCAGTGAAAAATTGTGGCCAAATGTACATCACATGTAATTAACCTTCTTAACATGTTTAAGTGGACAGTTCAATAGTGTTAAGTACATTTACAGTGTTGTGCAACCATCACCACTATCATCTTCAGAACTTTTTCATCTTCCTAAACTAAAACCCTGTATCCGTTAAACAATGACTCCCCCTCTCCCCCACCCCTCAGCCCCTGGAAACCGCCATCCTACGTCCTGTCTGTGACTGTGATGACTCTAGGTACCTCATATAAGTGAATCACATAGTGCTCATCCTTTTGTGACTGGCTTGTTGCACTTAGCACAATGTCCTCAGTGCACATCCACGTGGTAGCGTGTGTCAGAATTTCCTTTCTTTATAAGGCTGCATGATATTGCATTGTATGGATACTAGAGGCCTGGTGCACGAAATTTGTGCACTGGTGGGGGGTGTCCCTCAGCCCAGTTGGTTGTGCCCAGTCCGTGACAAGAACCCGAGAGTTTGCACACTCTCCAATCTGGGACCCCTCGGGGGATGTCCGACTGCCGGTTTAGGCCCAATCCCACAGGGGTCGGGCCTAAACTGACAGTCGGAGATCCCTCTCACAATCCGGGACTGCTGGCTCCCAACCGCTTGCCTGCCTGCCTGCCTGCCTGCCTGATTGCCCCTAACCACTCCCCTGCCAGCCTGATTGACACCTAACTGCTCCCCTGCCGGCCCAATCACCCCCAACTGCCCTTCCCTGCCTGCCCGGTCCCCCCCAACTGCCCTCCCCTGCAGGCCTTACCACCCACAACTGCCCTCCCCTGCTGGCCATCTTGTGGCTGTGGGTGCCGCCATCTCTGAGGGTGTGGCAGTCAATTAGCATATTCCCTCCTTATTGGCTGTGGGCGCCGCCATCTTTGTAATGGTATGAGGGTCAATTAGCATATTCCCTCTTTATTAGATAGGATACTGTGTTCTGCTTAACATCTCCTAGACATTTCCTTGTTTCCTTGGAGTGTTTCTCTCCCTCTCGGGGCCCTCAAATATTGTGGGGCCTCAGTGTCCCAGTGCGGCCTGCTGTGTGCTCCTCTGCACTCTGTCCCTGGGCCATCTTGCCTGGGTTCTTCCGCCACCTTCAGGCCCAGGTCTCGGATGCAGACCCACCTGGCCCATTGAGATGTCTCAGAGACATGGAAACTGGATGCTGGCCAATTGGAACTCTTCCCGGGAGGCCTTTCCTCTCCTGTCTTCTGTGACTATAGGTGACCACCATCTATGTGCCCAGTGACCAAAGCTTGCAACCTAGGGGTCATCCTCACTTTCTCCTCACAGTTAACCCACCACCAGGTCTCCCTGTTCCAAATCCAGGGCGTTCCTCAGATCTCTTGCCTCCTCTCTACGTTTACCACCATCGCCTGAGTTCAGGCCCTTAGCACCTCTTTGCTGGACGCCCGGGAACCTCCACCCTGTCCCATCTGCCTCTAGACCAGTGTCCCTCTCATCCATCTGCATCTGTACCCTTCGGTGGCCCACAGGGTCAAGTCCACACCTCCAAGGGTGGCATGCAAAGCCCTCCCTCCCTCCAAGGTCTGAGCCCGCCCTCTCACCATGTGGCCTTCCCTCAGTGCTCATTCCAGCACAAACCCTGCCCTTCTCTCCCCCTCCCCCCACGTCCCCCCAGCCCTCTGCCTGTACAAACCTCTGACCCTTTCCCCTCGCCACTCCCCTGGACACCATGGTGCCTCCTCTGCAGGTTGTCTTCCCTGGTCTGCAGAGCAGCCCGGGCGCATTCCTCTGAGTCTCTCCCATTAGTCTTAGCTCCTCAGGGCAGAGACTACGCCCATGTGTTCCTGGAAGCACATCCTGCCATAAAGTCAAATAATGTCCTCATTCCTGTTTGACAAGAAGCAGACTGCAGGTTTCACGTAAGCTTCTCTCTTTGTGTGGCCTGTGGGCTTTTGTACAACAGCCAGAGCCCGAGGGCACCACGTCTCCTTCCCACCCCAAGCGAGGCTCTGGTGGGAAAGGAGTCTGGGGAGCGAGACAGAAAGAGGTCAGCACATCAGGTGCATTAGAGGATCCTTTGCTGAGTAAAGGCTGTGGCTTAGATATGAGTCCAATACGAGCTTTTGAATAGGTTCCGCAGAATTAAATACCCCCACCCCCAGCAAGGCAGGTCTCTTGATTGTGGGAATGGGGAATTCGAGGGTCCTTTAATATGTAAAGAAAATCCATCTGTGAAGTGCAATCAAGCAAGATGTGCCTGTAAAGAAAGAGGCTTGGACCTAGGGCTGCACACAGGCTCCCCAGTATGTCTCCTCTGAAATGAAGAGACATCCTAGTCTGCCAGCCTTCCACCTGCAGGGACCAGCCTTGCACCTGCAGGGACCAGCCATCCACCTGTTAGGGACCAGCCATCCACCTGCAGGGACCAGCTTTGCACCTGCAGGGACCAGCCATCCACCTACAGGGACCAGCTTTGCACCTGCAGGGACCAGCTTTGCACCTGCAGGGACCAGCCATCCACCTACAGGGACAAGCCATCCACCTGCAGGGACCAGCCATCCACCTGCAGGGACCAGCCTTCCACCTGCAGGGACCAGCCATCCACCTGCAGGGACCGGCCATCCACCTGCAGGGACCAGCTTTGCACCTGCAGGGACCAGCCATCCACCTACAGGGACCAGCCATCCACCTGCAGGGACCAGCCTTCCACCTGCAGGGACCAGCCATCCACCTGCAGGGACCAGCTTTGCACCTGCAGGGACCAGCCATCCACCTGCAGGGACCAGCCTTCCACCTGCAGGGACCAGCCATCCACCTGCAGGGACCAGCCTTGCACCTGCGGAGAGAGAGCTGCTTCCAGGAAGCTCAGGGCATGATGAGGGAGGATCTGCTTGCTAGTGATTAGGCCGCAAGGAGGAGTAAGCAGGAGGGATGAGCTGACTACCTCCCCCCAATCCCATCCACCAGGGGAGTGAGGCAGATGGAGAGGGAGACAGCCACATGCCCGAGCTTAGTTCCCCTCATTCCACACAAAGATGAGGAAGGGCAGTCATTCTTCATCGGAATGACAAGCTGGAGGCCTTCTCCCAGACACACCTGCTCCTTGCTCCCTGCTGGCTCCGGTTCCTCGGGATGGTGCCAGCCTCCACCCTAGACCTGGCACTGCTCGGCCGTAGGATTCCGTGCCTTCCGGGAGCTCACACCGTGCTTTTGAATCATCCTGGTGACAGGTTCTCATGTGACGCCCCCTCTTTTTTCTCACAATCCATTCCAAGCGCCCTCAGGTGCAGACTTTCCCAGCTCCTGCCTATGCCTTGTTGATTCGGGGACAAAGCTGCATGTCCTCCACCCTCTTCTTGACGTATCTCTTCTGTGTTAAGAAATAGAAACCTGTTCAGAAACGGGCTGAGCCCATGGAACTGGGAAGAGCTAGAGGCGGATTCGCATTTCGCGTTTCTGGGTATTCGAGGGTCTGAAAGAGAAGACCTTTTAGGTCGAGGAGGTGGACTAGGGGGAGCTCCTTGCGCTTTGTGGTGGGGGAAAGTGAGCAGCTCGTTTTAGGCATCGTCAGGATTGGGGACTTGTGTGAGATGTTCACGTGGAACTGCCCCCCAGACTAGAAGGTTCTGGGGAGCACTGGAGAGTTGGTCTGTGTCCTTGCAGTATCCCCAGTGCTCAGAGCTCACCAGCTCCAGGGAGTGGCTCTGCAGCCAGAAGCCCCCAGGTCCTCGGGTTGCGCTCTGCGTTGGGCATTTCTGTTTGGAAGCTCAGTCCTGGGGTTGGAGGCCGACCGTCGCCCCCTGCAGAGATGTGGGAAGGAGGCTGCGTGCTTTCTCATGGGCTCCCTGTTCTCTCCTTCAGGGCTCTGCATCTCAGGAGGCCCGGAGGCCCTCCACACATCAAGCTGGCTGTCGAGTGGGATAGCTGTGCCAAGGAGCGGTGAGTCTGACAGGATTTGACCCTAGCGGGGAGGGGGCCTGCCTGTACAGGCATCGTCCTGTGCCCATTGCCCCAGTGACTGAGGCAGTACACATATCTCCTTGATGCCACGTGATCCATGCCTCTGAGAAACCCTGGTGCCAGTTGTCTGTGTAGAAACAATGAGGGCAGTACAGGCACACCTCGGGGATTCTGCAGGTTCCGTTCCAGACCGCCGCAATAAAGCGAGTGCTGCAATAAAGCGAGTGCCGCAACAAAGCGAGTCGTAATCCTGCTGGTGGAGGGGCTTGCCTTCAATTTGTAAAAAAGCACATCCGTGAAGTGCAGTCAAACAAGATGTGCCTGTAATAGTAAGAGTGGTGGTGGCAGGTGGCACTAGTGGCATCACAGTTGGAGTGGACTGTTACGTAACGCTTACCCTGTGCCAGTCATTGCTCTGAGCACTTGGCACATTTGCAATCTATTTAACCCCTTGAGTGCCGGGGAGCGCGATCGCGCTCCTCCTGTCTTTTGCCAAAAGTGCCGGGAGCGCTATCAAAGCTTCGAAATGGCGTCCAGTTCTAAGTCTGCTTTTATTAGTGATGATGATATTGCTAAATATGTCAATGTAGTAAAGGTTTCCTTAAGTTTTTGAATATGTAACTTCATTTACTTACAATTCATAATTTTCTTCCTAAACTGCTGTAAAATCAGCAAAAATGCCTTGGCAATTTTAGCGTAGTTCCTAGGATATTGGTTGGCACTCAAAGGGTTAATCTTCATTACATCGTGTCAGGTGGATACCACATCACCTGCCTTTTCAGGTGTGGAAACTGAGGCCCAGAGAGGCTCCACAGTTGCTCAGTGTCACGCAGCTGGTGCCTAACTCGGCTGGGATTTGAGCCCGTGTCGTCCTGCCCTTAATCACTGCACTCGGCTGCTTCTGTGACTCCGAGTGCGTCGGCCGTACTTTGAAAGAGGACACTGTTCAACCCAGCGAGTGTTCATTAACCTGCTTCTGGGTGGGAGGCCCTGCGCTAGGACAAGGAAGCAGAGGCAGACGCGGCGAGGACTGGGTCCCTCGAGGAGCTGGGGGGGAGAGAGAACTCCAGGGAACAGAGCGAGCGCTGAGTCAGGGCATGAGGCCCCCGGGGCACCTTCGCCTCGCCCGGTGGGTCCTTCCACCTGCGGGCTGGGAGTGGGGATTAGGAGCGACCCCTCTGGAAGAGAGAAGCCCTGACGGCATCGGCTCCTCTCTGCAGCCTGTTCGGGAGCCCCCAGGAGGAGCGGGTGCAGGACGCGGACAGCGTGTGGCGGCAGCAGCAGGCGCACCAGCAGCACAGCTGCACCTTGGACGAATGCTTTCAGTTCTACACGAAGGAGGAGCAGGTCCGGCGGGAGGGGGACTGGTCACCTTGCCTGGGAGGGGGCGGCGGGAGGAGGCCCAGTGCCGTGGGGGCCTCACATCGGGTGGCCTCCTTTGCAGCTGGCCCAGGACGACGCGTGGAAGTGCCCGCACTGCCAAGCCCTGCAGCAGGGCGTGGTGAAGCTGAGCCTGTGGACGCTGCCCGACATCCTCATCGTCCACCTCAAGAGGTTCTGTCAGGTGGGGGGGAGAAGAAACAAGCTCTCCACGCTGGTGAAGTTCCCGCTCTGCGGCCTCAACATGGCTCCGCATGTGGCCCAGAGGAGCACTGGGGCCACGCCCGGCCCCTGGCCGTCCTGGAAGCAGCCAGCCTGCCTGCCCACCAGCTACCCGCTGGACTTCCTGTACGACCTGTACGCCGTCTGCAACCACCACGGCAGTCTGCAAGGTGGGCATTACACAGGTGAGCGCTGCCTCTTGGCTGGTGGCTGCCGTGGCCATGTGTCGTGGCTGTGGCCTGGGCCTCGATGCCCCGGGAGGAGGCACCCTTGGAATGCCATGCTGAGCCTGTGCGGCCACTCGACGTGAGCTGGCCCCTCACCCGCTGCACCCCAGGCATCTGCCGGAGGGCGGGGGCCTGGTCCAAGCCGTAGAGTTGAGCTGGGTGGGTGGTGGGTGGTTGGGATGTAAAGTCAGTTATGGCCTGAATCTTCGACCACGTCAAGTAGAGGAGGGTAATTGTTAGAACCGAGAGAATGATGTTTATCCTCGTTTGCGCTTCAGCACGAGGGCTCTTATCAGATTTGGATTCCTATCAGATGTTTTTATTTCAGTGGGGTACATTTAATTGTTACCTTCAAGAGCAACTTGAGAGAAGTAGACGAATGGAAGGACAGACACAAATAGCTGGGTGACTTGTTCAGTTGTTCATATTCATCTACCTTAGTCTGTTCTGTTCTAGAAGAACATCTATTATTTCACTTTAAAAAAATGCTTTAAAATATTCATTTTTCAAAGGGTGCACTGTTGTGGTGTACTAATGTACCTGGAATTTGGAAGACACTGGACTGTGCAGAAATCCATGGTCATGACTCATTCATTCATTGGACAAATATTTATTAAGGTCTCATTTCTCTGCCAGACCCTGTGCTGGATGCTGGCGCGTCCATGATGAACAAGGCAGATATGAGTCCTGCCTTCGTGGACCTTCAATCTAATTTCAGACACAGACCACAAAAAGGGGGCTGGCCACGTGAGCATTTTCACTGCCTGGCATTATGGAAAGGTGGCTGACTGAGTAATGGTGTCTGTGATAGAGATGAGGCCTCTCTGAAGATGTCCCTTCGGTGGAACTAGCTATGTGACTAATGGGAGGAGGAGCATGATGGGCAGCACTGTGATCATGTGCAAAGGCCCTGAGGCAGAGCTGTGGTGTGGTTTGAGAATGGATGCAAGCCTGTCCCAGCTGAAGGGTAGTGAGTCAGGGGTAAGACAAGATGGGGCTGGATGAGAAGGCACCGTAAGCCACGGACAAGAGTTCATGTTTATTCTAGAGGGTGATGGGAAGCCTTTTAGGGTTTTAGGCAGAGGACTCGGTGTAATTCTGTTAACAAATGGAGGTAGGAGCTCTGCTCTGTGGAGAACAGTAGAAAGGAGTGAGAGTAGAAGTTGTAACTCCCGTTAGGAGGATGTTTCTGGGGCTCAGTGAGAGACGGTGTTGTCTGGTGCATGGGTGATGACAAGCAGGTATTCAAGACACATTCTGGAAGGGAAATCAGTAAAAGTGGCTTTTGGGCTGGGTGTAGGGTGGAAGGGAAAGGGGGGAGCAAAGATGGACTGTGAGGTGGCTGCTTGCATTAGTGCAGGGGTCAGCAAACTATGGCCCATGGGCCACATGCAGCCCAGCACCTGTTGTACGGCTCGTGAGGTAGGAATAGTTTGTGCATTTTAAAAACTGGCAAAAGAACAGGAATATACGGCAGAGACCATGTGTGCTGTGAAATAGTTTCTGTTTGCTACAGGGAAAGTTGGCTGATCCCAGATGAGTGGGTTAGAGTACCATTCACTGCGATACAAGGGAAAGGAGAATATTTTGTTTTAATTGTTTGGAAGGTGGTGAGACCCTTATTTATGAGCATTTTCTTTTTTAAAAGATATTTTTTTAAAAAGAGAGGGAGAGTGAGCTAGAAACATCAATGATGAGAGAGAATCATTGATTGGCTGCCTTCTGCATGCCCCCTATTGGGGATTGAGCTGGTAACCCACGCATGTGCCCTGACCGGGAATTGAACCCTCCTGGCTCATAGGTTGACACTCAACCACTGAGCTACACCGGCTGGGCTGTGAGCATTTTCTTAAATGTGGGACTTCAGTTTTTGGGTAGGAAAGAGGCATCCCATAATCCAACTGCGTATTCTCATTGCATACTGAAGTAGAGGTGTGCAATGTGAAGCCTTGCAGAAGAAATGGGGTGCACGTGGACAGCATGGTCTGGCTCAGCAACTTGGGGCTCCCTTTGATTGGAGGTTGTGCTTGAGTAGGGGCTACAAGGTAAAATTCCATTTCAAGTCGCAGCATGAGGAGGCATCTGGGCATGTAACTGATCGATCCTTTTGGATTCCACACAATTCATTTCTGACCCAGAATGGACCAAGATTTCTCGTTCTCTTGCAAACCTGTCCATTTCTAAGCTCTGACAGTGGGGTATGTCTTGCTGCTTTGGGGGGGCTACCGTAATGGGAGTTGGGTTTGGACCTTTGCAGCCTACTGCCGGAACTCCCTGGACGGCCAGTGGTACAGCTACGACGACAGCATGGTGGAGTCGCTGCCGGAAGAGGAGGTCATCACCCGGGGGGCTTACATCCTGTTTTATCAGAAGCGGAACAGCATCCCTTGCTGGTCAGCCAGCAGCTCCATGAGAGGTGGGTGCTGCTCAGGACAGGGCAGGGCGGGGGGGGGGGGGGGGCTTTCAGAGCTGGGAAGGCGCTTAGTCCAACGTCCAGGGCCAGGAGCGGGAGGCAGGGGTCTGAAAGAGGAAGCTGTGTCTGCTGCTGCAGAGATGTGAGCTCCGCCGGCTGGCATCCCGTGTGGGAGGGTGTGGTCATACTGAAATCTAAGAAAGGGGACAGGAACAGTGTTTTGTACCCGTGGCAGGTGACTCTTGGTGGCGTGGGATTTCATAGTCCCAGTCTCACTCGGGTCAAGCCAGCTTTTAATTAAGCTTGTGCAGCAGCGGCCTGTGCTTGTCCTGTCGGAAAGGGCAGGGCAGTCATGAGGGTGGCAGGGTCTTCACGGGAAACGTAGCTGCTTACCTAACTGCTGCCCAGCGATGCGTGTATTAGCTAACCCTGACCTCAAACTTGCTTGGAAGTCATGACCTTTTTTTGTGACTGTTTTTAAAAATATATTTTTATTGATTTCAGAGAAGAAGGGAGAGGGAGAGAGAGAGGGAAATATCAATGATGAGAGAGAATTATTGATCGGCTGCCTCCTGCACGCCCCCTACTGGGGACTGAGCCCCAACCCGAGCATGTGCCCTTGGCCGAATCAAACCTGGGACCCTTCAGTCTGCGGGCCAATGTTCTATCCACTGAGCCAAACCAGCTAGGGCTTTATGTGACTTATTTCACTCTGAAAACTAGCCATCCTTACCTTTGGGATAAAAGAGCTTTTTAAAAACACTACTCAGATTTTTTTCTCCAATTGTTGGAAAATAGCCAAATAAAACTAAGATGCCCCCTAAATGGTCTAAATCAAGCCGAATGCAAAGCCTGTCTTCCCTTCGCAGAAGATTGTAGGAAGAATGGAGAGCACACCATGTTTAGGAAACGGGAGTTGGGGAAAAGTAATTTCATGGGAAGCATTTCCATTCTCATCAACGCACTTGCCTCTCTGAGCCCAGCGCCTGTCCTTAAACTTCCAGCTTGGCCAGCAGGTGATCAGTTGCAGGTTTCTCCTCTGGCCCTGAACTTCGAGTGTGTGGTTCCGCTTTGGTCGGCAGTTCCAGGGCTCAGGGGTGGGAGTCCAGCCCCGCGGAGCTCCGCCGGGACCCCCGATGCTGGAGAAGGTGCACTTTCCCCCCCTCTGCTTCCTCCGCAGGCTCCACCAGCTCCTCCCTGTCCGATCACTGGCTCCTGAGGCTCGGGAGCCACCCCAGCAGCACGAGGGGAAGCCTGTCGTCCTGGCGCTCGGCCCCCAGCCCCACCCAGCCCCCGGGGCCCGACCCTCTCGTTTTCACAAGCAGCCTCTCCCGTCAGGAAAAGGGTACGTTTTCTCGTGTGGTTAAATGTGCTGATTATTTTCTTGAACGAGGGCTGGATCATGGCCTTGAGTATCCCGTGTCTATCATTGTGCGAGGCTTCTTCGTCTGTCAGATCGGGTCTTCCATGCCCAGCCCTTGCCGCCCTCTCCTCCCCTGTCCTCTCCAGCAGCAGGTTCATCCTTTCTGCTCCGTGGAGCTCACTGTCTCGGGGGAGGACAACAAAGAAACAAGTAAACGGATGTGATGACATGACGTAGAGCAGGGACAAGGGGGAGAGGTGAATCGTCAGAGAAGAAGATATCGTGGCAGGGGTGAGGGAGAGAGGGCGCAGAGGCCGTGGGGGAGGGCCTTTCCACAAAGGAGGCCACTTTGGACAGAGTGAGTGAGAGTGAGGCATGGATTTGGGATGAGCGGGGGGTGTGGGAGGGCGGAAGGCACCGAGCTGTGGCGGAGCACAGTGAGCGAGGAGGACAGAGACAGGCGATCAGGGGCCAGGTCATGATGCACCTTTGGCCCATGGACTAAGGTTGCATTTTATCACAAGTACAGTGCGTAGCTTTGGGGGAATATTGATCAGAGAAGTAATGTATGTAAAAAATATATAAATATATAAATATATAAATATATATCTACACTAATAAAAGAGAAAGATGCAAATTGACCATACCTTCATGACACCCACCAGCCAATCAGGAGTGAGTATGCAAATTAACCCAACAAAGATGGCGGGTTAACTTGCATATGCAGGTGCCTAGCGGCTGGGGGTGGGGCGGGATGCGTTGCCATGGCGACGATGCAGGCGTTCCGCACTGCCTCAGCCACTCTGTGCCTCTGGACAGCGTGGGAAGGTGTAAAGGCGGCTCCGGGCTGGAATGAAGGCAGAAAGGCAGCTCAGGGCCGGAGCGAAGGTGGTGCCGGCAGCCAGGGGAAGGCAAGCCCATTCTTGCATGAATCTTCATGCATCGGGCCTCTAATATATATATATATATGTTTATATATATATGTTTATATATATACAGTGGGGCCTTGACTTACGAGTTTAATTCGTTCCGTGACGGAGCTCGTAACTCAAATTACTCGTATGTCAAATCAAAAGTGAACGAGTGAGACACGTGATGCTGGGCTGATGTTGTGGCGTTCACTGTGACGTTCGCTGCGCCAACTAGAGGTGGGGTATCTGAAGCTGGCTTGTAACCCGAATTTTAGCTCGCAACTCAAAGCAAAAAATCGGCCGAGAGACGGCTCGTATCTTGAAACACTTGTTAGTCGGGACACTCCTAAGTCAAGGCCCCACTGTATATGTATGTTTATATATACATACATATTCAAATATATGTTTTATTGATTTCAGAGAGGAAGGGAAAGGGAGAGGGAGATAGAAACATCAATGATGAGAGAGAATCAATGATCGGCTGCCCCACTCTGGAGATTGAACCTGGGCATGTGCCCTGGCTGGGAATTGAACCATGACTTCCTGGTTCATAGGTTGATGCTCAACCACTGAGCCACGCCGGCTGGGCTGATTTATATTTTTAAAAAGTCTACTCTGGCTGCCGTGTGGAGAATACATCATAGAGAGGTGAGAGTGGAAGACAGAAGGTCGATTGGGAGTCTTATATGATTGTTGAGAGTGGTGGCTTGGACAAGTGTGTTAGGTAGGAGACATCAGATCCTGGATATACTTGAAGATGGAGCTGATGGGCTTGCTGATATGAGAGAGTGAGTGATCCAGGAGGACCCTGCTTGGCTAGCATCGACGTGACTAGGTGGTCAGGTTAGTAGTGCAGTTAATGAGATGGGAAAGAATTGGGTGGGAAACAGTCAGTTTTGGAGAGAAATCTAGAAACTTGTGACTTGATAACTTTGAGAGTCCCATAAGACCTCCAAGTCAAGATGGTTTAAGACAGCGGTTCTCAACCTGTGGGTCGCGACCCCTTTGGGGGTCAAACGACCCTTTCACAGGGGTCGCCTAAGACCATCAGAAAACACATATATAATTACATATTGTTTTTGTGATTAATCACTATGCTTTAATTATGTTCAATTTGTAACAATGAAAAGGATCCTGCATATCAGATATTTACATTACGATTAATAACAGTAGCAAAATTACAGTTTTGAAGTAGCAACGAAAATCATTTTATGGTTGGGGGGTCACCACAACATGAGGAACTGTATTAAAGGGTCGCAGCATTAGGAAGGTTGAGAACCACTGGTTTAAGGAGATAAATGTTTGAGCCATCAGCACAGGGATGGACTTGAAACCCCGGGGCTGGCTGAGCTCCCCTGGGGAAGGCACAGATAGGAAGGAATGGAGACCTTCAGCGATCCCTGGAGCTCCCCACAGGAGGGTGGGCAGGGCGAGAGGCCAGCAAAGAACAGGGAGGAGCCAGGGAGATAGGAAGAAACCTGCGTGCAAATGAACCACTGATGCAGAAGAGGAAATTGTGGCCAACGGTGTCACATATGGTTGAGAGGCTAAGGTGAGGCTGGGTAAGTGATCACCAGGCTGGAGGGCCACTGTTTGAGAAGCTCTGAGGTGGCACTAAACCTGGGCAGGTAAGAATCTAGCCATAGGTGTTCAGTACTGGGTGGTACTACCTCTTCTCCCCAGGGCTGTGCCAGAGATCCTCACCGAAGCTATCTTTTCATTGATTCCAGAGAGAGGGGAAGGGAGAGGGAGAGAGAGAGAAACATTGATCGGCTGCCTCTTATATGCACCCCAACATGAGATCAAACCCAAAACTTGGGTAAGGGCCCTGACTGGAATCAAGCCCTTGACCTTTAGGTGAACGGGATGATATTCCAACCAACTGAGCCACATTGGCCAGGGCTGGGAGACGACCTTTACTGTCAAAGGCAGGGATGATGCTGTTCTGTACAGAACGGTCCCTCCCAGATGCCAGCAGTCCAAATGCCAGAGAAACACCGATAGCCGGGGAACGTCATCCTCCCAGCGGCTCTGGTTATGGGACATTGTGATAACGAGGCATTTTTAAACAAAAATGAATGGATTCGACCTTGTGGTGCTGTACTGACGTCACTGGGAATGGGTGTCGGAGAGGCTGTCCAGCAAAGGATAGAAACACGGCTTGCTTTTGCAACTTTTACAAAAACATGACCCTTAGACAATATTGCTGGGGTCCCTGGGAGTGTGGGGGCCGGGGGCTCAAGCGTCCTTGGGTTTTCAGTAGGGTAGGTGGCCCGTTGATACATTTCTTTTATGGCTTTCATTGGGCTCAGAAGCTTTGTTTTTCTCTCTTTCAGTGATTTCCAGATAGTATGTTATTTCAGTTCTGATTTCTCTTTGATCTAAAGGTTATCTGGGAGTCTCAAATATTTAAGATTTTTTTTGGTCACCTTTTTAATCTTTATTTCTAATTTTGTGGATTGTGATCCAAGAATGTGGTTCTCAAACATTCCCTTTTTGTGGGCAAGTAAGTACCTGAATATTATTGTGTTAAGTGTCCTGTGCACGTATGAAATAGTGTACACCTCACCTATTTGAGGGATGTGAGCTTTATGTCATTACTGTTAAATTAGGTGTGTCGATGGTTGTCTTCGATTCACCTATGTCTTTAAATTAACCTTGGTAGGACTGCCTGGCTGGGAAGGGGGTATATGCACCCCTTCTTGTAGAGCTATAGCTTTAATTGGGTACCCCAAGAACTTGAACAACTTTCGTTGTAAATATAAGCTTATGTTTAGCTGCTTTGGTGGGAGGGTCTGTGAGCTGATGACTGTGAGGTCTTCTTTAGAAATTGTGTCTTTTCTCATTATAATGTTGCTCTTTATCCTGCTTAATGCCTTTCATCTTAAATTCCACCTGTTCAAGATGAATAATGATATAATGATACCCCGGCATCCTTCCTTTTGGTTTGCATTTGCCTGGTATCGTTTCACCCTTCTCTTTTGCATTTGAGTCAATTTTAATCAGTTCAATACACATTCTGTTGCTTTCTTTTACTGTCAAAAATACAGAGCGTACCTTATAATGGGGAGAGTTCAGTCTGTTTATATTTAGTATAATAACTGCACAACTTGACTTCATTTTATTTAAAACTTTTTCCATTACTTGTTTCTTTTTTTTTTTTTTTTTTTACCGATTTGATTATGTTGTTATTTATTCCCTTTTTCTCCCCTTGTTCCTTTGGAAGTTCTGTTCTTTTCCATCCTGCTAATGGCTGCTTTATGTTTCCAATACTTACAATCAAATGGCTTTTCCTGTAATTATGTGGCTATGAAAGGCCAACAACTCCCTGCAAGTCCTTCTGCCCCCCCCCCCCCCCGCTTTCTCTCCTCCCCCCAGACATGTGAGGCCTACACGACGCTTCCATGTCGGCCCTCCAAACCAGGCCTTCCGATGCTTTCACGCGTTCCCTCTGGTCTGCGTTAGGCGCCCCCCCGCCTCAACCCCCGACTCTCAGATTTGCTGGGATGGCGGGATATTCTTCAGACTGCAATTAGAACTCCTCTTGCAGTACCTTTCCATCCTAAACACACTGACTTAAGGTTATGTGACACAGTCTCACCCCATCGGAGCCCCACGTGGGTGGGTGGGCGGTGCACGGACCGCGGGGTCCACTGAGCACCTCGGATGGTTCCACCCCCGCTGCCCGAGGTCTCATTCTGACCCGGGAGTGATTGGTCAGAGCTCTCCTGGGGTGTGCGCCATGTGTCCTCTAACTCTGCACGGCCGCAGGTCTTTTCTTTCACTTGGGAGTGAGTGGCGCTTGGCTGCTTTTCCCACGGCCTGCCAGGCCTCAGGGCTGCGGGTGAGGAGCCCATTTATTTATTTTTTTTCCCCATGAGAGTCACTTGGTCTTTCTGGCTGGAAGCTTTTAAGATTCTGTCTTTGACTTTGGAGTTGAGAAGTTCTACCAGAGCGTGCCTAGGGGTGTGTGTTGTCCATCAATCCCACCTAGGACTCGGGGAGGCCTTTCCTTCTACAGATGCAGGCTTTTCTTTCGGGAAATGATCTTTTTTGTTGTGTAATGGTCTCACCTGCTTTTCAAATTCCTGTTACTTGCCTGTTGTGTCTCCTGGATCTGTCCTCGGAGTCTCCTAGCTTTTCCCTGAGATTTCTGTCTCTTTGTCATTTTGCTTGGTGGTATGAGACATTGCTTTCACAATTACGGATTTTTCACAAATGCCACGATCATGTCAGGCCACAGTGTGAGTTCCCACAGGGACCTTGGATGTCTTCATTTACTGACTTGAAAAACCTGGGAGTTATATTTTCAGTCTCTTGTTTTATACCTGAGTCTCCTTAACAACTTTACGGTGTCTGTTTCCTCTGGTGGCTCCATTTCAAGGGGTTCTTCTGATGGTCGCATGTTCTGACCCTCTGATTGCTGGACCCCTCGTGTGCGCTGTTATTTTTCTGTTTCTCCCAAAGGGGCCCCCCTCCACCTTCTCTTGAGCACTGGTTATTAGAGTGGGGGGAGGGCAGTGGCCTCAGCTCCCGAGTTAGCCTTTCTCCTCGCCAGCCTCGTTCTGGAGGCTCCATCTCAGAGGCGGAGAAGGCTCAGCTCACCTGTGCAGCTTCCCCTTACCTTCTAAATGCCCGAGGGCCAGCTTGCCGGAGGCTACACTCTGCAGCTACAGCAGACTAGTCTCCAAATGCAGATCGGGGCTCAGAAGAGGAAGCCCCCTTTTCTCCCTCGATCCCAACCACGGTGGTCTCTTTCCTGCCTCCCTGGCCCTCCAAGCTTACCTGTGCCCCGGGCCTTTGCACTAGCAGCTGCCTCTGCCTGGAGCCTGTTCTCTCCAGATCTCCACGTGGCTTCTTCCCTCTCTGCCCTGAGGTCTCATCATTCCTCACGCGTCACTCACCGCCCTGTATTTCCCCCGCATTCTTCCTCATAGCTCTTGTCCTGACATCCCATGAGATCATAAAGTTTTATTTCCTGTCCAACCCCATAAGGGACAAGCGCTTTGTATTTTTTCGACAACGGTGTCCCCAGCCCTGAACACTGTCCTTAGCCCGCAGCAGGCTCTTAGGAAATATTGATTGAGTGCGGAAGTGAGTGGAAACCCTCGGAAGGTGGAAAGCACTGGCCAGGAAAGGGCTGGTCCTGTTGCCGGTGGGCACAGGATGCCGAGGAGAGGGCCCTGCCCGCCCCTGCCCACCGCGCACACTGGGGTGGCTCCACTTCCCTTTGGGGGGCTCTTGTCATTGGTGAAGATGGGCCTCTAGCCAGCGTTGCCCCGACTCCTTCAGCAAGTGAACAGCACCTGGGAAGGCTGAGAGCAGGGGCTTGGGCTGGCACTCTATGCCATGCTTGGCACACAGGGACTGGCCCTCGTTTGGCCTGGGAAAGCAGGTCCAATAAGCAGAACTTGTGCAGAGTATGCTGTTTCAGGAAATACTTAAAGATGAATGGAAGTGATGTTGAATCGGAGGGCTAGACGCCTCAGGGACTGGTCTTTACCAGGAGTCTGCACTGCCTGGCCTGTAGCTGGCTACCTTCTTGGGCACTGGTTCGCCCTGTGGCTTCAGTGCGCAAATGGATTCGGTGGAATAGGGGTGAGAGCGTGATGCCCCGCGAGCAGGAGCCGCAGTGGCCCGCCCACGGCTGTGTCCGTGCCCAGCACAGCGCCTGCAGCGTCGGAGGTGCCCACTCACTGCCGGTTCAGGGCTGGCGTTGCAGTGACTCCTGTTGAGCTGGAGGGGTCTGTGGGCACTAATGCTCTTGGCGTCTCTTTCAGGAGGCCTGCAGTCCAGGCCCTTGGTCCGGGGAGAGAGAGGCCGAAGCATCAGCATGAAGGTGCCCACTGCCTCTCGAGCCAAGCAGGGGGCCTTCAGGACCATGCCACTTCGGTGGTCTTTTGGACACAGAGAGAAACCGGTGGTGGCGTCGGTCGAGTTGGTGGAGTACTTGGAGTCCAGACGGAGGCCTCGGTCTACGAGCCAGTCCATCGTGCCGCTGCTGACGGGCGCTGCTGGCGGGGACGAGAAGTCGGCGGGGCCGAGGTCAAGTGCCACCCCCCCTGCTAAGGGTGAAGGTCGTGAGCAGCGAGCCAGCGAGAGAGGACCAGCCGGCGTGTCCTGCCCCGAGGGCCACCTCAGCCATGGTGCCGTCCCTGGAGCCTCGGATGGTCTGAACACAGCGGGGAAACTGGAGGGACATGCCGGCCACGATATCGGGCTCCCCAGGCAGTTGGATCTGCCGCTCACAGTCACACCCTCAGTGCACACTGAGAAGCGAGCCGGGCCTGAGGGCCAGAGGACTGCGAACGGGAAGGAAAGTGGCCATGTGGGGACCCAGGACGCCTCAAGTACGGTGGGCAGATCAGCTCCTCAAAATGCCTTCGCCAGGGCCAGGGCAGATGCAGAGGGAAGGGACCCTGAGACAGACAGACTCCCACAGGGGACCCTCACCCTTCTGAGGTCTGTGTTTTTGAAGAAGAACAAGAAGAATGACAGGGCTGAGGTGGCCCCCCGGGTGGCCCCAGTCTCCCTGGGGAGTGGCAGACTGAGCCCAGCGGTGGGTGAGCAGACTCGAGTCTCGTCCTCTCCCCTGCGGGTGCCGGGGGGCCTGGAGGGCGCTGTCCGCTCTGCACCCAGCTCTCTGCACCTCCCTCGCAAGGCCTGCAGGCCCCCCAGGGCGAGGGCCCCGAGCCCGGCACAGAGGAGCGTTCCCGGGGAGCACACGTCTTTCGGCAGCTTGCAGAGGGTGAAATACCACACTCTCTCCTTAAGGCGAAAGAAAACGTTACCGGAGTCCAGCTTTTGACGGTGCGTCCAGTGTCGTGTGAAGCTGGCATCCTCTCAGCTCTGCCCCAAGCAGCTGCAGGCGGCCTGGCTTGCGAGCAGGACTCTGGGAAGCCACTTGTCTTGGGACCCCTGAAAAATAAAATGTGTTTGGTCTTCACATCTAGATTTCCAACACATCCAAACACCTTCCTGTCTTGTCGGCTGCTTTTCTCCTCGTGGGACACTAGAGGGCGCTGTTGGGTCAGCATTACCGTTTCAGGGCAAGAACTGCTGTTTTGTTTAAATAAGTCCAGGACCCGAGGAATTATTTAAAGAGTGATTGGTTGTGGGCACACCTTTCAACATAACTCTGTGGGGAAGCCCAGTTAATACGAATCTTCCCTATCAAATCAAATATTGCCATTGGCTGCTCCTATTAATTTTTTTTTTTAATTTAAATAGGTGACTTAACAGGAAAAATCTTTTCCTTTTAATGTTTCTCTGGGATAAAGCACTGAAATGCCAGAAAAGTGGTAGTGACAGGCAAGATTCTAGGAGAGAGATGATTGAGGTGTTAGGAGAATATTTAATATATAACAAAATAATTGTATTAAAGATTTTCAAGGTATTTAAAAGGAACTATTTTGATACTAGGACAAAAGGAAGTTCTTTTTTAAAAAAGTTGAAGTATGAGGTGTGTGTGTACTTTTAATAAAAGCCCGTCATTGAAATATGGGAATGGCTGGATTACTCATGTTTTATAAATGGTATTGTTTTGTTCCTGCTGTATCCACTCATTGCTGTTGATATCAGACCGTCATTACTCGAGTTTCACTGGAATTTTAAAAAGCTTTTAATTAAAATGACTTGCTTTAAAATACGTTTTTATTGATTTCAGAGAGGAGAGGGGGAGAGAGAATCATTGACTGGCTGCCTCCTGCACACCCCCCTGCTGGGGATGGAGCTCGCAATCTGAGCATGTGCCCTGACCAGAGGTCAAACCATGACCTCCTGGTTCATAGGCTGACGCTCAACCATTGAGCCACGCCAGCCGGGCTAACATGACTTGCTTTATAAGACATAGAAAGCCCGGTCTGGGAGTTGAGCCTGCCCATTTCCTGGAGCTTCGCAGGCTGCTCAGCGGCCGCTCTGACAAATGCCCTGTCGCTGCTCCTGGAAGCCGTCAAGCGACCTCAGGCCTGTGGCCCGACAGTTGGGGTTCCTGGTGAGTCTGTACTTACACAGCACGCTTTCTAGAAATACTTCCTTTCTCATGGGAACCATTGGTTCCGGACATCAACTCCCCAAATGTAGTTCTCATACTCACTGCCGGGCTCACTGGTATGTCTTTGCTGTGTTTTTTTTTTTTCTTAAGAAGAAAGAATGATGTCCCTTTATGTCCCCACTGGGAAAGACGCTTGCTTTTGAGCACGAACTAAGTGGACCCGAGCTAAGGTGGACCCGGGATAACAGGAGAAGCAGGAAGCCCAGCCGCCTGACTCACCCGAGGGCACGCGCACCGTGGACCTGTGTCTGCATTTCAGAAGCCCAGGTTCTGTTCCCGTCCCGGTCCTGGCCGCTGTGCTCCGGGCGGGTGGGAGCCGTGGCTGGCCACGTCCTCTGTGGCTATGAAGTCTGGGAGCCTTCCTGCTTTATCTGGTTCGTTCTCAGATGCCGCTCATTCGTCATGTTTAGCACCCATGCTCTTTCTAAGCTCAGCGTCACTTCCTGTGTCCTCAGATGTGCTCCCCTTGTAAGGTCCCAACTTTAAATACCCCTGGGTGTGCCGAGGGGGGCCCAGAGTTAGCTGTGTTCTCCACGATGCACCGTGAGCTGGAGCGCTTGCCCTGGGCCTAATTGCTCACAGACCCTGGTGGACCCATCTTCAGCAAGGATGCCTGCCGGAGGCCCCTTGGTCTTCCCTTCCCTGAGGCTGCTTTCCCTTTTAGAGCAGCGGTTCTCAACCTGTGGGTCGCAAACCCTTTGGGGGTCGAACGACCCTTTCACAGGGGTCGCCTAAGACCATCGGAAAACACATATATAATTACATACTGTTTTTGTGATTCATCACTATGCTTTCATTATGTTCAATTTGTAACAATGAAAATACATCCTGCATATCAGATATTTACATGACGATTCATAACAGTAGCAGAATTACAGTTACGAAGTAGCAACGGAAATAATTTTATGGTTGGGGGTCCCCACAACATGAGGAACTGTATTAAAGGGTCGTGGCATTAGGAAGGTTGAGAACCACTGTTCTAGAGGAATCAGTAGGGAAGGCTGTGAGGACAGACCATGTCTCTATCGAAATAAACCTACGTTTCTATGAAAATTGAACCTTTTGTTTTCTTGCAGCCTGCATACAATTAAACCTTGTTTATTTGGCCCGTGTTAGCCTTTGAGTCTGACATGCTTGCTGTGAAATCTCCCTGCCATCTTTGACCTCATTTCTCCCTACCCCTCACCCCCAATCCGTTGCCAGTTCCACATTCCTTGCATCACTTGCCTCTGTCTTTGCCTCCTTCCCCCTGACCCTCTGTAGCCATCACCTGCGTTATTGCAGCAGCCTCCTAATACAGCTGCCAGCTGACGCAGCCCTGCTGATTGGGCCGCCCTCAGGGCACCAGGCTCCAGCGTTTCTGACCTTCTATCCCAGTGGTTCTCAACCTTGGCTGCACATTAGAATCACCTGGGAATCTTTTCAAAATCCTGATTTCTGGGCCCCATCCTCTGGAAATTCTGTTTCTTCGTTACTAATGTTGTGGCCCCGCCCCATAACAAAGAAACAGAATTTCCGGAGGATGAGGCCCAGAAATCAGGATTTTAAAAAGATTCCCAGGTGATTCTAATGTGCAGCCAAGGTTGAGAACCACTGCTCTATCCACAGCAAAACTGTCCTCCTATGAACCCTGCCCTCGCAGCCAAGGGGTCTGTCTGCTCACGTGTAGTAAGACACATGTCACTGAGCAGATTGGTTTGGAATATTCTGGAGATAACAGTTCTACCTTAGAGGGGCTTGTTTTGGTGTCTGAGATTCCCACTCGCAATTTTGGAGCATATAAGGCCCTTCAATGAGGAGCTGCTTAGTTCTCCGATGCCGTCCAGAGCCAGCTGTTCCCGGGGGCTTGGGAAGTGCCCTAGAAGGATGCCTGTGTCTGCTGGAGAGATGGGCTGTTTCCTCTGGTTTTTGACTTTCCCCAAAGGAGTCTCACGATTCTTCTGGGTGTTGGCCATGTCGGTCAAGATCCAGGCTGGAAACAGATCCACTCGAATAGGGTGTATGAGTTTCCTGTGGCTGCTGTAACAAATACCACAGCCTGGGTGGCTTAGAACAACAGAAACGTATTGCCTCACAGCTCTGGAGGCCCGAAGTCAGATCAAGGGGTCAGCAGGGCCCTGCTCTCAGGACAGCTGTAGGGGAGAATCCCTCTTTGCCTCTTCCTGGCTTTTGGTGGTTGGCTTGCAGTCCTCGGCCTTTTTTTGGCTTGCAGCTGCGTAAATCCAATCTCTGTCCTGGTTACGCATGGCTGCTCCCTGTGTGTCTGTCTTCACATGGCTTTCTTCTCAAGGACACCGGTCCATTGAATTAGGGCTCCATCCTACGCCAGCAAGACCTCATGTTAACTAGTTACATCTGCGATGACCCTATGTCCAAATAAGGTGACATTGCTAAGGTACTGGGGGTTAAGACTCCAACATATCTTTTTATGGGGGATACAACTCAGCTCATAAGATGTGGTGTCCAGGAGAGCTTAACGAATGGGCTGGGAATGGAGGTCAAGGTCAAGGGCAACCAACAAGGTGCTGCAGCTCCCAGGGCAAACAGCCAGGAGCCATGGCCACCCTGGCATCGGAAGGCCAAAGGGAAGGAGCAGTTTGAGTGTGACCCGAGGGCACAGCTGCGGGACAGGAGCGGTGGCTTTCAGGGGTGCATTGCAGTCATGTCACAGCAGTGGAAGGGGTGGAGGGGGGCTGGGGGACTAAATCCTGGGGCCTCATTCCCTTCCTGCCCCCCAACCACCGATGGCTGACCCCAGTCAGCAGCCGGGACGAGAGCGCCCTCTGCTGCAGTCCTGGGCACTCAGGCGGAGAGGGAACACAGTCCTGGACACGGACTGGCTGTCTCCAGCGGAGTCTCTATGGTGCCGTCTTCCCTCAGCCGGACTCCGGGTGGCCCCTGAAGCTGCTCTCACCTTTAAAGATTCTGGCTCTTCAGAAAAGTGCCCACGTGTGAACAGTGCGTGCCAGGGGGCGTGAGTGTTTCTCTGCTTCTTTATGCTTCTCACTTTTTTCAATTAAAAAAATTTTGTAGATATTGGGAGGAAAAAACCAGAAAACCCCATTTATGTCACCCACATGGAGTAGTGCGGGCTGTGTCAAGCTTTGCCGTGTCGCCTGGTGGTCTGGGACAGTCCTTCTGTGTCCTAAGGGCGTGCCATCCTCAGGCTGCCTCAGAGCATCACAGAGCATGCTCTCCCTCAGTTTTCTCATCTGTGAAATGGGTTTGTCAGCCCTTCCAGGGAATCAAATTTGATGTGAAGACCAAATGGGACCTTGGAGGGGGATACTCATTGGAGATTATGAGCTGCACATAATCTTGTGGGATTATTACTACTAAGCTCTACAGTGTCTTGGTGGAAAGTAGCTATAGAATAGGTTTGGAGCCACAGTGACACCTTGTGGCCAGTCCTCATATTGCATGACACTTTGCCCCCTCAATTTAAAGTAATTTCCCCCCCTCTATGTTTGAAGCTTTCTTTGTGGGCTTTCCTTTAGTGGGCTGGTGAGATACCCATCCTGAGTGGGCAGCAGAGCATGAGTGGACACAGGCACACCTGAAAGCCAGTAAGGGCATCCAGTCAGAGGGATGCCGAAGTTCGTGGACAGGAAATTCAACTTCAGGGCGTTTGGTGTGTGGGACAGCCAGTCCTGAAGCTGGGTCCACCTGCAGGTCTCTGACCCCCACCGCGGCGCTGCAGGGCGCCCTCTGCGGGTTGCAGGGGAACAGCGGAGCAGACCCACGGACATGGGAGGTCCTTATCCCTTTCCTTGCTGTCCTTTCAGGGAATCTGGGTCTGAGGTCTTCCAACTCCAAGTTCTTGCCTTCCCAGAATGCAGCTCAGTGCTAGTGTAGATGCATCCCTGACGCAGTTCCTCCCTGCCTGTCCACCC